ATAAAGCCCCTTGTGTGCACTATTTGAATAGCAGTTGTGGCTGCTCGGAGTCTGGAGCTGAATTAATTCTGGACACAACCTTCTGTGTCTATTATAATAATAATCCTTCCATTTGATACAGCGCCTTATCACGTGTTTGAGACGTCTCAAAGCGCTTCACAGGATACACTGTAAAGTGAATTGACTGCGTATTTTTGGGGCGAAAAGCGGCAGCCAATTGCGCTCGGCAGCGTCCCCACAAACAGCCGTGGATCGAGTGACCAAATTATTATTTATTATTTAGTACGGAGACTTGCCCAACGTCTCGCCCCGCCCGGCAATCTCGCTAGCGAGGCGAGTGCTCCGACCACTGAGCTGCAGGACTCCAACTGTTTGAGACCTGTCGAGTTGTATGTTTGCCTACGAAACACACAGTTATTACACTCGACGGTAGATCCTGTGAAGCACTTCGAGCCGTCCTCCGATGCGAAATGTGCAAGGTCAAAGGCAAAAATCGTCATTAGGATCACAGAATGGGCTGAGCAATTATCAAAAACAACTGTTTTCTGAAAGCCTTTTTCGCAGAAAGCACATCTATAGACTGTAGATAAGTACACAATTTGAGGGCAGCTTGTTCTACCATCACTCTGTGGCTCAAAGTCCCAGCTAACTGCACTGCGGTAGATTGCTGTGCTGTACAATTCCTCACAGGTATCAAATTCTCGTTCTGCAGCTCAACCAGACAGAAAGCCACCATTAAACTCCAAGTAAAAATACCAGGGCTTTTCCACATGATCACATCAATTGCAGAAAAAAAAATTACCAGGAGCGGGAATTCAGTATCCCTCACTGATAAGAGTCCTATAAAATGTCGACTATAATAATAATAATCGTTGCATTTGACACCGCGCCTCATCAAGACGTCTCAAAGCGCTTCACAGGATACACTGTAAAGTGAATTGACTGTATATTTCGTGGGCGAAACGCTGAATTGGGACTGCCCTTTTCCGGATAAATACCACCTCAAATAGCGAGTGGATCGCTTTTCTGGGGGTAATAAACAAATTAAAAACATAATAATTTGGTCACTCGATCCACGACTGTTTGTGGGACGCTGCTGTGTGTAATTGGCTGCCATATTTCGCCCACAAAATATACAGTCAACTTACTTCACAGTGTATTCTGTGCAGAGCTTTGAGACGTCTCAACGATGTGATAAGGCGCCATGTCAAATGTAAGGATTATTATTGTTATAGTTGTTAATAGCCCGATGAAAGATGGTACTGAATCGATCTGGTAGTTTGGCAATTTAGATAGCTGCTGTGATTGAAATTGAGCCATAAAAGTTTGATAACAACTCATGTTTTAAAGCAGTTAGCATTGATTGCATATGATCGTGCATCTTGCCTCTCAAGCGGTATAAATTGCTGAGGGTAAGCAGGCAGTGGATTGCAGGTCACGATCAGGTACATCTTTTCTAACACGAGTTCCGTTTGAATCCTTCAGGAGAATTTTATGAGCCAAGCTTCAGTAAGCTTCGCCAGCTGCTCTTAAAAACAAAATGTTGACACGATAAAACCAGGCAAACTAAGTCAGCAAAGAAAAATAATTAAACTGGAAAAAGCTAGCCAAGCCTTTTTCTGATGTTTGAGTACACGGCAAATATAACATTTGCACTATTTATCCATAATAAAACTGTTTTGAGGGAAGTGAAATGCAAAAAACAATGTAGTCCCGTGAAAGCATCCAGAATTCACGGAATACACAAGGTACAATAATAATACTTGGCACTTGACTTAGCGCCTTATCATGTCTTCGAGTCGTCTCAAAGCGCTTCACGGAATATATTGTAGAATCTAAGAGTGATCTGGGAATCCGAACTAAACTGGTTTTGCAAAGTAGCTTCATGTTTGAATATTATGCCCTGATGTTTGGTAGTTTGCATGCAGGATGCCAATAAAATGGAAATTCATTGGATATTTCCTTGAACTTCAAATGCACACTTTATCTACAAAACAAGGCCCATTAATGGATTGGACTAATCAGAATGAACCTGCATACTAATTAGTTTAATTGGAAAACACAGGTTTCTAGATAACATAGCAAATGGCTGTTTGAACTGACAAAAGTGCCTGGTTAGCAATGCGTTTGCATGATCAATTTGTCCGGGGGAAACGGCAAGAAGAAGGTGTACTAATCGCAACAGCGGATTTCTACAATTGTGTGATTGTGCGCGACATTCAAACAGATCCGATCGCATCAGTGATTCTGGTCAAGAAATAAATAAGTAATGAACAATATCTTTTGTTGGAAGTGTGTGTAGCATCTTCAAAGGATTCGAGATGACTACAGATAAATTGCTCTCGGTCGCTAACTCTTAAATATTTACATTGGAGTCCTGTAGCTCAGTGGTTAGAGCACTCGCTTTGCAAGTGAGAGACCTGAGTTCAATTCCAGGCAGAGGGCGAAACCTTGGGCAAGTTTCCTTACTCCACACAGAGCCTAATAATAATCCCTCCAAACCAAAAACAATAATAAATTGGTAATTTTCAATCTACGACTGTTTGTGGGACATTGCTGTGCGCAATTGGCTGCCGCGTTCGCCCACAAATATACAGTCACTTCACTTTACAGTGTGTTCTGTGAAGCGCTTTGGGATGTCCTCCTGACGTGAAAAGCGCTATATCAAATGCAAGGATTATTATTGGTGCTTTACCTTCATTCATGAGCAAATATACCAGCAGATACAACTCGGTTAGTAATGATATAACTCCTCCTCTTCGATCGCGCCTTCGGTCACCCTCCTACCCCCCACCGTCCCTGCCCTCCACCCCTCCTGATCCCAACCCGCTGCTCAGGTCCGAATCCCTGACTGTCCAGCGCCTTGCGACGTCCTCCTGACGTGAAAGGCGCCGTGTAAATGTCATTTGTGGTTGTGGTGAGCTGTGCAGTCACAGTATTATTCTGACCAGGTAAATTCCATTTGACATTTTCGCAATACCCAGTGGATCAGATCAAAGCCAACTCTGTACCCAATGAAACCTGAAATTAATTCACACAGCTGTCTTGTTTCTCTCCATCTCTTGCAAGCCGAAAGGACAAAATTTACATGAGGTTTGTTTCACGAGAAATTAGATGTGAAAATGTCACGACTGCTGTAGATTCAAAACCCTTCTAGCACCTATTTCATTGTGTCTGGATATGATACATCTACTTTCCAACTCATTCCAACAAAGGTATCCGCTGACAGACAGCACATCAACAATACAAGGAATTCGGAGCAGACAAAAGTCACTGAGGGAGTGAAGGAGGGAGAGCGACAGAGATGGTGTTTGTGGAACAAGGTGACTTTTTCCCTGAACTGTTTTGATTAGTACAGTAATTCACTCTTGCTACGTTCTTATTATAATTGATTTTCCAAAACATTCTTATCTACAAGAGCAGGAAATTACAGACACTTGTATTTAGTATTAATGGCAATGTATAACCGTTTTGAAGCCCGTGCACCCGGCCCCCAAAACAATTTGTGTATTCACAATCTTATTACATGTACAGTCTGAGAGAGCAAAAAACATTGCCACAAATGGTTTTAAAACCTACACTGGTGGCAGTTCATCCAGCAGTGGTGATGCTGACTTGTGTGTTGTGTTGGAGCCTTCATTTGGATAGGATCGGAAACAACATACAGAAAAGCAGAAATACTAAAAATGAACAAAATCTAGAATCTCTGTTCATTTCAAAAAATAATAATAATTTGGTCACTCAGTCCACGGCTGTTTGTGGGGACGCTGCTGTGCGCAATTGGCTGCCGCGTTTCGCCCGCAAACCACACAGTCAATTCACTTTACAGTGTATCCTGTGAAGCGCTTTGAGACGTTTCGAAGATATAAGGCGCTGTATCAAATGTAAGGATTATTATTATTATTATTAATATTCTACCATTGGTCTGACAACTGAAACATTACTTTCACTCCACCTGCCTTTCCTCTTCGCCTGATTCTCTGAGCCCTGTAACTGCTCAGTTTGTTGAAGCACCTTGTTTGGTGCAGTTAATTTTCCCTTTGTGCAGAGAGATTGTGCGTGAGTTGCTCTTGTGAGAGGTTGTCCTCTGGTTATGTCTTTTCTAGCTGTGTCATATCTATCCAGAAGCACTAACCCAGCTGTCAGTACGCTTCAGTTCTCCCACATCCCAGCCCCCACATCCCAGTCAGATATTTCAGCTTATCGTAGGAACCCGGGAGCATTTTGTAAATAAACTCTTTGTGCCAGTTTTGTTGCATCATCTCTTCACAAAGCGTCGCTGTCAAGTTGGCTGAGAAATAAAACCAATTCCTGTATCATCAGCAGTCCTGTATGTAGCCACTGTAGCACAGTGTAATAATAATAATCTTTGCATATGATACAGCGCCTTTTCACGTTGTCGAGAGGTCTCAAAGCGCTTCACAGAATATACTGTAAAGTCAACTGTGCACAGCAGCTTCCCACAAACAGCCGTGGATTGAGTGTCCAATTTTTTTTTTTTTTTGAAGCAATTATTATCCCCGGAAAAGCAATCTGCAAATCGTTTAACAACGATAGTGCAGTACAGCCTTATATGCGCAGCAAGAATTAGATATGTTCAATTGGCTGCCGCGTTTCGCCCACAAAATGCACAGGCAATTCACTTTACAAGTATGTTCTGTGAAGCGCCTTGAATATCTCGAAGACATGATAAGGTGCTACGTCACGTGCAAGGATTATTATTGTTATCATCGTCATCACCAAGTATTTCAAACACCATGAATGCACAACGGTTTGCAGAGACCCAGTTGCCAGTGGAAATGTGGGCTAGAAACAGCAAGTGCATCAGACATTAACTATATCTGTCAGACTTTGAACACTGCAATCTCAGATTGTGCCCACTCCAAACACGAGTACAGCAAAGCAAAGCCCAGCAAGTCTCCACCCAAACCAGAAACCACAAAGGACATCACAGATGATTTGAGCTGGAAAGGGGATGAGAAAACAACACTGGAGCTTACCCCTGAACATCAGAGTCTACCAGGAGCCGGACAAGAATTCCTGTAACTGCAACAAGGATTGGATAATGATCCACACTCTCCAAACCTATACCAAGAAGAGGTTAAAACAAGTCAGCAATGTCCATCCTTCACCGAGTCCCCAGAAAACAGCACAGTGCAAAGGATCTTTATTATTTGTAGTGTTACCAAACCACGAACACAATATGAATGTTTCTTACCCCCACCCACCCTCACCTTAAGATTGTCCAGTCCCTTGGGACGTCCTCCTGACATGAAAGGTGTTATATAAATGTAAGTTTGTATTATATTCACTCAGCACAAAGAAGGTAACCTCAGTATTATACCTTTTGTTGCTTTTAATGATAATAATAATCCTTGTCTTTGATACAGCGCCTTATCACAACTTCGAGACGTCTCAAAGCGCTTCAAAGAATATACTGTAAAGTGAATTGACTGTATATTTTGTGGGCGAAACGTGGCAGCCAATTGTGCACAGCAGCGTCCCCACAAACAGCCGTGGATTGAACGACCAACTTATTATTATTTGACTTATTTGTTAAGTTTTATACTGCTGAGTTGCAACAAACACAGATTTGTTTGCTTTTTCTATCTCATTATAAATGGAATTTATTGCCAACATGGCAGGTAATCATTGCCTTATTTTAAAAATTAATAAACCCGCAATAGCTCAGCTGAGTGGAATATTTTTGACTCTGTAATTAACACACCCTTTAATAATTTAAAATCAAGTTGGATATTTTAAGAATTATATGTAGTATGTAAAACTATATTCAGAAATACAGTACACTCAAGCTTCCCGGACATTGATAGGAAATGCTCGACGTTTTAAGAGCTCTTTAAAAAACGTTTTTCAAATGCAGTATAAGAATTTGAGGTCATCTTAATGCCTTCATGAGCACATTGCATTGATTGCACCCGATTTATGGTCTGTGACTGAGCTGGGCTGATACAATAAACATTGATGAGTTATTGGCGACAGTGCCATAGGTGTGTTCATACAGATCAGCACGCACTCACTTTCCTCAGATAACTCATTGAAATGAAAGAAACGAAAATCCAATTTGACAAAGATTGGGGTTTCATGTGATCCTGAGTCGCGTATAGATTTACGTCAAGGTAAAGGTAAAGTGAGTGAAGAAAATCAACAGAATCTTCAGCCCAGTATCACAGCACAAAAGCAGAGCTGTTGTCATTCAGCAATGTATCATGTACCCAGGCAACAGAAACGTCACAGATGAAAAATGTGCTTTTTGACAAAGGATGATTTTTCCTTTCAAGGATAAATTGGAAGGAATATGCGGAGAGTGAACTGACCGACTGCTGACATGACCGACATTGATACCATGTTTCGCCCGCAAAATGTACAGTTAACACAGCCTTTTTATTGTATGAGAGCTAGCGCTCTGAATAATGAGCAAAAATAAGTGGCAAATAATCCACATGACAAAAAAACTCCCCAAAATTTCTGTTGAGTAGAACTCCCAACAGACTCCCAGCAGATTCCTACTCACCAGGTAAGCGCAGATTGACCACGCGGTCAAAGAGGTTTTTTTCAGCCGTCACTCGGTTCAAGACTTGGTTTATCAGCTGTGGATGAAGAAAATTGATTTGGATGAGCCGGAAACGTGATCGAAATACAGTTTCTATCTCAGTGGGTCCCCCGTTTTCAGATTTTCTTACCGTACCCATCAGTGAAAAACCTGAAATACATTCTCCCCCTCCTTATTCTGATTCAGTGTGTAAAGCAATTCAACTAGACGCCTAGATAGGTGTGTTAATTACAATTCAACACAACTCTGCAGCTCGTGTACTCTCACGCACCAGGCTCCGTGACCCCATCACTCCCACCCTCGTCCGACCCCACTGGCTCCCCATCCCCCAGAGGATCGCGTTCAAGATCCTCGTCCTCACCTTCAAGGCCATCCATGGCCTTGCCCCCTCCTACCTCTCTGACCTGCCCGCTCCCTCCATTCATCGGGCTCCGACCTGCTCCATGTCTCCCGCCCTACCATCAGTGGCCGGGCTTTCAGCCTCTCTGCCCCCACACTCTGGTACCTTCGCCTCTCTTCCTCCCTTGCCTCGTTCAAGGGCGGTCTCCAGACCCTTCTCTTCCACTGTGCTTTTGGTCTCACTCCCACCTCTCTGCCTTCCCTCATCCCACCACCACCCCTCCCCCATTCTCGGGCCCTGACACCTGACTGTTCAGCGCTTTGGGACGTCCTCTCGACTTGAAAGGCGCTCTATAAATGTCATTTTGTTGTTGTTGTAGATAATAATCCTCGCATTTGATACAGCGCCTCATCACGTCTTCGATACGTCTCAAAGCGCTTCACAGGATACACTTCACAGGATACACGCAGCCGACTGCGCACAGCAGCGTCCCCACAAACAGCCGTGGATTGAATGACCAAATTATTATTATCTTTTTAATTCTCTCAAGATAGCTTGAACTGATGAAGTAACAATTACAGATCTTCAGCATGTGATGCTCTGCATTTGAAGGCTGGCTACAGATCAATAAGCACATTAACCTTTGTCATTTGAATAATGTCCTTCAGTGTAATCCTGCTTCACAACGAGCCACACACACACACACCACACATGATTGCACATCGTTCAGGACTGCTGGAAACCATCGAAAATCAGATCAACAATAGGGAAACCTTTCGACGATAAAAAAAGATCTAAAAGTGCTTTGTGTCTTGAAATTCTGGCTCAAACAACCAATATTGCCTTCCAGCGCATTCATTCATGATAGAGCAGATGGCATGTATAGCCCAATGGATAGTCAACTGATAGCATGTGATTTGGGCAATGCACCAACATTCACCTGAGAGCACAGAATGTCCGTAAGAGTAACAATAATCCTGGCATTTGATATGGATATAATCCTTATCACATCTTCGAGACGTCTCAAAGCGCTTCACAGGATACACTGTCAAGTGAATTGACTGTGTATTTTGTGGGTGAAAAACGGCAGCCAATTGCGCACAGCAGCGTCCCCACAAACAGCCGTGGATTGAGTGACAAAATTATTATTCTTTTTGAAGGGATTATTACCCCTGAAAAAGCGATTCACAAATGACTAACAACCGGGTTCCTACTTACTGCTGCTTACTTAATCTACTGTCTGTTCATCTGAGAGCACGTGGGCTGAGCTTCACATAATGACAACTTAGATTATTGCCCCTAAGGTATCGTGGAGCTGAATTCAACACCAATAAGGATTAAATAAATCCAGAAATAGTGCAAATATAGAGTGTGGTGTAAAGTATTATTAAGTTGACCTGCGCAGTTACACTATGTGAGGTACAACATGAGGATGAATGGTGTGTGATTGTAAGATAAGGGGATTGACAATATAGTTAAGTCTCTTTGGTTAACTAGTGTTTTAATTTACAAGATTTTTTTCCCCCAGTTCCGAACCAATTAATCAATTGTTCTGAGGAGTGCCAGCTAGAAGGTAGAAAAAAAGGAAAGGGATCACATGTTGGAATAGGATTGTATACACAATGACAAGCGGAAGGGTTTGGTTGTAACTCAAGCCATGCATTTAAAGCTTTCCATCGATATGGGTCAGTTACGAACAAAGATAATTACACGCGAGGCAACACGTTAGGGCCATTTGACACGGCTTGGAGCTGCGACCCATGGTAACAAGTTAATGAGTACGACTGTTACAGATATTACCCAAATGATGCTTCGGACACTGCATTTATATTAAGTATTGAATGAGTCAAAGATCAGTGCTCTAGGATGTTATACTCTACGTGAGAGGCTCTGTATAAATGCAAGTTGTTTTTTGTTTTAGTAAACTATTGTGGCGGTGGTGTGTGTGTGTGGGGGTGGAGGGAAGAGAAGACTTAATCTGAAATAAGCTCTGGGGAATTCTGTAGATGCAGATTTTTATCACACTCAGTGCTGGTTTGTCCTCAATCTGCCTGTTGGGAGATTGTCTGGGAGCACATTTTGTACAGTATAGAATGTCCAATAATGTGTGTGTTGCTGCTGTCAACACAGCAGAAGCTCAGCACACAACTCAGGCCGTGCTAATCGGAGGCTCTGCAGCAGAAACCACAGAAACAAAGAGAGTATTCGTGGGGAGTATGTGAAAAATATTCTGTAAAGCGTAGTGTGTGTGCGTTTTGCGTGGGCAAAGAAAAGGAGGGGACCGAGGATACAGCCTCAGGAAACACCGCAGGCGAAGTCTCATATTCGACAACCATTTTCGTAGGTTCGTCCACAAAATATAGAGACGTCTCGAAGACGTGATAAGGTGCTATATCAAATGCAAGGATTATTATTATTATTATTATTATGTTGTATGCTAGAATAGGGGGTTAGGAGCTGATTAAAGTACATGCAACAGCTCAAGAAAAACTCAAAGCTTCCATTGTTTGGAAGAAACCACTCAAGTATGCATCACAACTTTGTGAAATTAGGACTCGAGTTTTCTCTCTTTCCCGCTAATTCCCAGTAACGAGGCCATGGGAGTACCACTGCGATTGTGTCAAGTCTTCAACCTGCTTTAGGAACATGATTCTGTCCTTTCTGAAAGCTAACAGGACGACAAGTAATTGGCAATCTAGCTGCTAATGACTGACTTCTTCCTCCTTGATGTTTTTTTATTTGGGCACCAAAGGAGTTAAAACCATCAAGCAGATCTAATCAAATAGAAAGTGCCCAGAGCAGAGCAGCTGAACCCTTTTAAACCAGATGGCGAGATCTGTGATGAGCGAACAAATTAAGTTGGGTGTGATATCCAGGCCATGAATTATGAAGCAAAGAAACAATTATATTCGGTATCTTAGAAAGTCCTGGAATAGGACTCAGTTTGTGCAAAAATCACAGTCATCACTTGCTTGTTTTAATTGTTTTCAACTTGGCTGCATTCTATATCTACTACAAGTCCTGCAGCTCAGTGGTTAGAGCAAGCGAGAGGACCTGGGTTCGATTCCCGGTCAGGGCGAAATCTTAGGCAAGTTTCCTTCCTGCACACACCACGCCTCTGTTCATCCAGCAGTAAGTAGGGACCCAGTTGTTAGTCGATTGGTGGATTGCTTTAACTGGGGGAATAATTCCTTCCAAAAAATAAATGAATATATCTAAAATAATAATAATCTGGTCACTCAATCCACGAGTGTTTGTGGGACACTGCTGTGCGCAATTGGCTGCGATAAGGGGCTATACCAAACGCGAGGTTTATTATTATTACTACAAACGACCAAAGAGGGGCAGAGAGGGAGAGGGGGCTTCATACCTGTGCGAGGCGTCTCAGCAGTAATTCTGCTGATGGTCGGGTCCAGTTCAGGAAGATCTCAGGAACGAGCGTGATTGTCATCTCCAGGACTCGCAGCAGACTCACCGAGAGGTCGAAGCAGGTGGCGCAAACCTTCAGCTGCCGACTGTCCACAAAGTTTCTCTCGGGTCGCTCGGCTGCCTGCTGGATCTGCAGAGGCAAAGGATGGGAAGGAAAAATGTGGGAAGGAAAAAAAAAAAAAATCACGAAAGTCACTTCTGTAACATTTAACTCAAACGTCACCAATGTAAAAAAAAATGGTGTAGAACAGCTGCCTCAGCAACACGGCACACAACAACAACAACAAACCAAATGACATTTACAGAGGGCCTTTCAGGTCGGGGGGACGTTCCAAGCCGCTGGACAGTCAGGTACTTGAAGCAAATAGTCCATGATGAGCAATATAGTTTAAGTCGTGGATATGATTAAGATCCTTTTTTTTTTAATATACATTTTTTTCCCCCCACTTCAATGTTGAAGAAGACCCAAACCTCCCCCCTCCGTGAAGTAGGTAGAATTTTGAAGGAAAGGGATCACTGTGATGAGCTGGGAATCACCGCACTCTCATGGAACGGTTAACCGGGCAGCTTGTGCGATTCATAAAACATGCAGAAATGGCATCGCTCCCCAATGTGTTGCAACACAGCCTTGATCTACCAACTGTGTGAAAGGTTAGGTGGCCAACCTGAGGCCCGCGGGCCAGAAGTGGCCCTCGAGGCTGTTAACAAGACCCCACCACCCCATGAACATTTGCGCGAGTCTAGGTCGGTGTGGGTTCGATCGGTGACTGTGTTTCAATTTTTTTTTCCTTCATGAATCAAGAAATAACCGATCAAGAAAATGTACTTCGGCGGCAGAACGTAAAGGTTGTTCGGCCATCACTGGTTTAAGAAAATAGTTTGCACTTTCAAAAGCAAATTCCCTGACGCTGCTGTTAACACAGAGGACACGGCTTTTCCCAGAGTGACATTGTGTGCTGACTGGACTTTGCTTGTCACCAGATCTTTCAAACTAAATTATAATCATATCTATATACCTACAGTCCACAAGGAATCAGAGAGAATCCATGAGCCTGCGTCCTTCCATCTGCCCCTGGAAGTGAACTGACAAGTCTTACACTGAAACAGCTCTGAACTTTACTCTCTCCTCGGGGCGAGGAGATGATACGACGACACTCTGCATCTTCACAGTACGTTTAATATGTTCACACCCCCCTCACTGCCTGTTTCAGGAAGATATTATAATAATATCAGCAACACTCCGCTTCCCCTGTGGAGTCCTGTAGCTCTCAGTGGTTAGGAGCACTCGCCTGGCAAGCGAGAGGACCTGGGTTTGATTCCCGGGCAGGGAGAAACCCTGGGCAAGTTTCCTTACCGCAGTGGTCGAATGCGAAGAATATAACATTAAGAGACAATCTGAGGTGGTAACTGATTGAAGCGACTACGCCCTGAAACTCTGGAACACTCTCACCCCCTTCCTTCCCCACCTTCAGGTTGCGCCTGAAGACCTTCCCCTTTGACCATCCTTACGGTCACCTACCCCCTACCCCCAGTTCGCTGCCAATGCTCCACCGTGTCTCTTACCTCCTGAATCATTCCAATGAACTCCGAGAATGCCCAGTTGAGCTGATTGAGGACGCTGTTCAGGAAGCTGGCCGCCATCTCAAAGTCAGAGCACAGCAGAGCTGCCATGTGTTGCTGTAACAGGGTCGAGGGACAGGGCTCTGAGGAGAAAAATAAACTGACCAGGTTAGAACCAGCGTGAAAGGGAAGACGCAAACTGGAATCACCAAAAGGATTCAGGGTAATCTGATCTCATCGTCCTCTGTCCTCCACCTAAATGTTTCCTTTGTCTGTATTTCCCCCGTCCCCTCTGTTCTGTTTGCCCTTATAATCCAACATCCACCCCTTGCCCCCCCACCAGTTCTGACGAAAGGTCATCGACCTGAAATGTTAACATTGATATGGGAGATTGCACCAAAACAATCGGGCGATTCAAGGAAAACATTTCTGCACTTCATACAGCAATACCAAAGAATTGAATTAACAGAAGCTACCTTTAACTCAGGACACCAACAACAAATTACATGTACAGCAACAACAACAAGGTTACATCTGTATAGCGTCTTTCACGTCGGGAGGAGGTCCTGAGATACTGGACAGTGAGGGATTTGGACCCCGAGCAGAGAGTCGGGATCAGGAGAGACTGGAGGGCAGGGGTAGGAGGGTGACCTCAAAGATGAGGGTCTCGAGGATTATTATTATTTTTCAAAGGATGGAATGGCATGGCACAGCTGCAATTGACAGCAGAACTTTGCTGGGTACAGATAGCTCCAGGATGCCAGCCTTTTCATGTGACAAGCTAATTGGAACCATTAAGAAAGAGTCCCACTGAGGCTAGACAAGTATTTGCACAGCACCTGGCCTCTTTACTGCAAATAGCCAGGCAACCACGTTACAGGTACGGAAAATATTAATAATAAACCTTGCATTTGATACAGCGCCTTATCATTTCTTCAGGACATCTCAAAGTGCTTCACAGGATAGGCTGTAAAATGAATTGACTGTATATTTTGTGGGCGAAACGCGGCAGCCAATTGTGCACGGCAGCGTCATGGATTGAGTGACCAATTTATGATTTACTATTTTTTGGGAAGAGTTTATTACCCCCCCGGAAAACCGATCCATCAATTGACTGTCAACCGGGTTCCTACTTACTACCGGGTAAACAGAGGCATGTGGAATAAGGAAACTTGCCTCGTGTTTCGCCCTGCCCGGGAATCGAGTTCGCTTGCGAGGCGAGTGCTCTAACCACTGAGCTACAGGACTCCACAAAAATATTTCAAAGACCTTGAGAAAGACACAGGCTACAAAGTAATGCTTAAAATGCTTATTAAATCTGTCATAAGGTGTCAGAACAAAGTGACATGGTGAAGCTTTGAAAAAGAAGAGATAGAATACTAATTAGGTAAAGGAGAAACAATAAAAATAAGAGTGGAAAGAGGCGATTATAGACGTTCAGTAAAAACAGGGGTTTCTCGTTCATTGGTAATGTTTTTGTTTGGACTCTTCTGCTTTCAAGACATTAAGATTCAGCGCAAGTTTGCTGCAAGGTGCAGCTGTTCCTCTCGCTTGCTGACGTGTTACATTAAATGAGTAGAAAGCGAAGTAGTTTCCAATGTAAGCACACTTCATTTCCTCTCATTAGTGTCACATTAGTATTTATAATCCAAATCATCCCATTGAGCAGATGGAAAGACTCTTGGCTTCGATTGACGTCAGTCGCTGGGACCTTCCTGGGTTCTGAGTGGCTGGTGTTCTCACTCCGAACATTCATCCATCAAAGTGATTATAAAGGGATAAGTGAGAGTGTGGGCTTGAAGGAACAGAGTAGAGTACTTGTGACCTCACCAGTTGGTTGGGTGGTTTAGTCTCAATGTACTCAGAGGATAATGAAATCATATTTTACCATGAAAGGTCGATTAATAACACTGCCACCATGACACAATCAGGTCAATGATGATAAAACTCTTTAGCCCCTACACCAGAATTCAATGCGTCTTGTCACATTACACGGGTTTTTTCAATCCCCAGATAGAAAGAACAACCAGTCCCAGGCAATTCCAAGAGGAAACACTGTGAACAGAGGCACTTGCTGACAGTTAATAGTAACCCAAGGTCACAGTCATCGGTCATCCTGTGAATAATATCCCTCTTATCTCTGAACAGCTAAAGCGTAACAAAAACAAATGGCTGCTTTATACCCAATATATTTTAATCTAACAACGCATTCCCCTGTCGCTGGGCGGCACAGAAACTGAACAGCGCATTTGCCACGTCTGTAACACCCCTCGTGAGTGAGCTCAAATGACATTGATTTTTGACCTGATTCTTTTCAGAAACTCTCAGATGGTGCGATCGAATGAAAAGCAGCAAGAAGTTTCTACCGTATTCGAACGCAGGTACTCGCTCTGCACAGCTCCTAATTGCTTGTGCTCAGTGAAAGTCCTTTGCGTTCGTATTCGATTGACGAGCGCTAGATTACTCATGAAGCATTTAGAGGCAAAGCTGCTACTGCTGTCCGCCGAATAAAAGGCGCTCCAGGGGTTATCACACTGACACTGCACACGTCAGGACAATCTCCACTTCCAAGGATGTGCAGATTGCCTTAGAGACTACTGAACAAGTAAGATTTCTAGCAATGATCCGATATACAGCAGCCGAGTCCTGAAGGTTGAGTGTCACACGAACATAGGATCAGGAAGAGGCCATTCAGCCCCTCAAGCCTGTTCCGCCATTCTATAAGATCAAGGCTGATCTGTACCGCATCTCCAATTACCTGCTCTTGCCCCGTATCCCTTGATACCCTCGTCTCCTGCCAATCAACCGTATAAACCACAGTCACCATTTTGCCAACGTATTCCATTGTATTCCCTTCCGTGTGTTTGGGGACAGAGGACAATACGATACTGTGACACTACACAGACTGGGATCAGAGAGAGGAGCATAAAGCCTATGGATCAGCCCACATTTTGGAAGCTGAACTGTCGCTGAGGGAAAGTTATGTGTGGGTGGAACTTGACTAAATTGCACTTTTGGCTATCAACAACAACATGTAATGATATTTACATGGAGCCTTTCACATCGGGAGGACGTCTCAAGGAGCTGGACAGTCAGGGATTTGGACCCGAGCTGGGGATTGTTGATCAGGAGGGGGTGGAGGGCAGGGAGGGTGGGGATAGGAGGGTGGACGAAGGTGCGGTCAAAGAAGAGGGTCTTGAGACGTGCCTTGAAGGCTAAAGGCCTGATCGCCGATGGTGGGGCGGCTTAGGGGATGTGGAGCAGGCCAGAGCCCGTTGAGCGGAGGGAGCGGACAGGTCGATATGGACGTTTAATGGACTGACGACTTACTTAAAATGGTCTTGGCTAGCAGCTAATGCGACACGTACAAACAAGCTGCCACAAACCTACTTGAGTGTCGGATACAGAAGGGAAGGAACACACAATGGGAAGTGACACCACATCCAGAAAAAGAAATAGACTTACTCTGAAAACTAGCAACAGATAAATCTTCTGGAATCCATGCAAAAAGGAAAAAAAGGCATTTAATTTAAAAAAAAAGTAAATTAACATTATTACACAAAAAAAAGTAGCCGGCCCCACCCTCAACAACAACAACTTGCATTTCTATAGCACCCCTCACGCAGGGTAGGGGTTCCAGAGCCCTTGGCAATGGGGAACACTTTGGGTTTCCAATCACCCGGAAATTGTTTAATATGGATATGAAATAGTTAGGAGCAAGATTCAGTTTTCTACAGAAACTCATACCCTAAATCCTCTCAAACAGTGTGTAGCACACGTTAGCAGTAGCCAAGGCGAAAGGGCAAGGAAACCTGGGTCTTGTCTGCACACGTTTCAGTGAGCACAGGAGAGTGAAGTGGCCCCCCACCCCACCCCCCACCCACACACACACACACCCCTGCAGTTCGCAGGTTGAAGTGAAGAAGGTCGGGGCTGATTACAAACGTCTTGAAGCCTGGCTTTCAATTGCACTTTTAAAGCTCCGAGTAAGGGCTCGCTTCTCTCCCCGAATTACATGATGGACACTGATCGATGCTTGCGGTTTCTTCCTGCTCCAAGTCCGGCTACCCCACATCTACGCTGTGAGCAATATCCGCAGATGCACGAACATCAAACCAGGCGAGATTCAAGAGCTCAGAACCAAACGTTCAGCGTTCAATGTCATGGCCAGACCACCACAGAAGAAGGAATTACTGTGGTCTGAAGCCAAGGCAACCCCCCCAACAGCACTTGGAACAAATCTTGAAGCCGGCTGATTGGGGCCATCAATGTAACGTTTCTCCTCCAAACCTCCCAGATTCACTGACTGTGTGTTGGGACATTGCTGACTCAATGACTACACCATTGACCTTGAAAACAGTTATCACGAAAAACATTTTGAGTCGTTATACTTGAAAATAATCACGCTGAAATTATTTTGAGACCTTTCGATAGAGACCCTTTTATAGCCGTTGAGATGCCATAAAAAAGAAACCCAATTATTTTCTTTCAAAACTAAAATCTGCAGTAATTAGAATGAAATATTTAATTTCGCACAACTCAACACTCACTTGTAGGGATGAGAATCAAATAACACAATTAAGTTCGAGTGGGAGGGCGATAATGATAGAATTCCTTTAATCAACTGCTTCAAACCTAAAGGGAATTAAGCAACAGTTCCCAGGGGCAGGATACATATTGAGCAGTCATGGAACAAGGTATGTATTAATAATAATAACAAACCTTGCACTTGATATAGTGCCTTATCATGTCTCTTCAGAATATACTGTGAAGTGAATTGACTAATTTGTGAGCAACCAATTGCACACAACCGTGTTCCAATATATAGTCAATAGATTCAATTTTGCATTGACGATTCATAATTATCACCTGGATATCCCAGCGAATTCTCAAGCAACACGGGCGGGGGTGGTGGGGGGGGGAACACACGCAACAGTGATTGAATTATTTCTTTGCCTGAACAGTTTCATTAGTTTACGACTGGCTCCTCCAGCTGTTTGAGAAACAGAAGTATAAATCCCGGGGGACATTATCATTGCTCCATGAGTTAAAAAAAAACCTCCAGTTCTTTAAAAGTGAAACACATTTGATGCCTAGTGTGTTTCATGAAATGTTGGCATTCATAATCAATTGACCTAATTTTGTTTCAGCTTTCACAACCACAAAGCATTTATATGTCCCTCATGTAGGATAATAATATTAATAATAATAATAATCCTTGCATTTGATACAGTGCCTTATCACGTCGTTGAGACGTCTCAAAGCCCTTCACGGAATATACTGTAAAGTGAATTGACTATATTTTGTGGGCGAAACAACAGCCAATTGCGCACAGTAGTGTCCCACAAACAGCTGTGGATTGAGTGATGAGATTTTTTTGTTTTTTGAAGGGATTACCACCTCCAGAAAAGCGATCCGCCAATCGACTAACAATCGGGTTTCTACTTACTGCTGGGTAAACAGAGGCGTGTGGAGCAGGGAAACTTGCCCAGCGTTTCACCCTGTCCAGGAATCAAACCCAGGTCCTCTCGCTTGCGAGGCGAGTGCTCTAACCACCGAGCTACAGGATTCCTGCCCAGTCATGGATTGTTGCTTACATCGGAGCATTGACCATATACCATAGCGGAGGGGAATGTCCTCCCAAGAGTGACAATTCAAGTTTCGTTGCAATTAATTGATTTAATAAAAGTTATATAATTAATACCATTTATAATACATTATACTTCTGTGAGAGAATATAATGTGAAATTTTTTACATCACACAAAATACACTTTTAAAGCAATATTTTATTAATGATGCAATCGGCAGCAGAAACGTGCTTCAGAGAATTTAAAGGCACTTTAGATTCTTCCTTTAAATGCTATTTTTTGTCAGAAAAGATGAATTTCTTCAAAAATGACCATAAATTTAAGAAATATATATATATATTTGAGCAACTCTTTGAGCAGAATTTCATAATGGGTAATGAAAATTAACAATTCTTGCATTTGACACCTCACCTTATCACGTCTTCGAGACGCCTCAAAGCTCTTCACAGGCAACACTGTAAAGTGAATTGACTGTGTGTTTTGTGGGCGATTACGGCAGCCAATTGCACACAGCAATGTCCCACAAACAGTCATGGATTGAGTGACAAAATTATTCTTAATTTTGAAGGGATTATTATCCCCGGTCAGTGATCCGCCAATCAACTAACAACTAGGTTCCTACTTACTGCTAGGTAAACAGGCGTGTGAGCGGAGTAAGGAAATTTGCCTAATGTTTCGCCCTGCCCACCCGGGAATCGAACTAGGGTGCTCTCGCTTGCGAATCGACTGCTCTAACCACTGAGCTACAGGACTCCACAAATGAGAAAAAGCAGTCACAAGTTTTCAAAAGGCGAGGCGGAGAAAATTGGTGTAAAACAATTAATTTCTGGTGGAGAACTATTGAGGATAACATTTCTTAATAAGACAATGTTCAGTAAAATTACTCCCGATCGTCAAAGGTAATTTAGGAAAAACTCCATGAGTGTAACATTACAATCGTTATTACATAGATTAAATAAAGGGTGAATTTGCACCTCGGAGGAACGAGATTGAAACTGATGAGTTTTCAATTGCCATGGCACTGGCAGTTTCCCATTCAGGTTGTCATCACAAGATCCATTTACCCATCTACAAACCTTCAGAACCCACACGCTGGGGCTCTAAGGAATCAAACCATAAATTATGGATGGATAAACAGCACATTTAAAACCATAAAATCTTACAACACAGAAGGAGGCCATTCAGGCCATCGTGCCTGTGACAGCCCTTTGAAAGAGCCACCAACTAGTCCCACTCTTATCCCAACGAGTCCCACTCCCCAGCTCTTACCCCACAGCCCTGCATTTTTTTCCTTTTTAGGTACTTATCAAATTTTGAAAGCTTTGATCGAATCTGCTTCCATCAGCGCTTTGCAGACCATGACAGCTCACTGGGTAAAAAAAAGTCTCATTGTCTCCCTTCTGATTCTTTTACCAATTATCTTAAATCTGTGTCCTTTGGTTAAATCACCAATAAACAAATTACTGACTTAGCAAACAGTACCGAGCTGAGGAGAGTCACTGAGTTTCAGACACCGAAAGATTAACAGAGCTGCATTAAGCAGAGCTGGGTGGGAATGATATTAATCTGCCGGTACTCACTCTGTAGACTTGGCATGTTGGCATCCTCTGGTTTGGTTTTCAGCAAGTGAGGGAGTCGGGTGTACCTGTAGCCAAATCCACAACCCTGAAAAACATTGAAGAAACACACAAAGCAAGAAAAATATAAAACAATGGAAGATTATCACTGTAGGGCCTGTGATTTGCACAAGACATTAAAAGCAAGGTTAGGGACTATTTGAGTCCCTGAAGCTCATCAATGCTTCTAAAAAAAAATTGTAAATGAAAAGCAATTTCCCCGACCACTTCATTGTTGTCCTGTAGCTCAGTGGTTAAGAGCACTCACGTCACAAGCGAGAGGACCTGGGTTTGATTCCTGGTCAGGGCAGGGGGAAACGTTGGGCAAGTTTCCTTACTCCACACACACACACACGCCTCTGTTTAGAGTTAGGTAGGAACCCGGTTGTTAGTCGATTGGCAGATTGCTTTTCCAGGTATAACAATCCCTTAAAAAAAATAATTTGGTCACTCAATCCACGACTGTTTGCGGGACGCTGCTGTGCGCAATTGGCTGCTGCGTTTCGCCCACAAAACAGTCAATCCACGTTACAGTATATTCTGTGAAGCGCTTTGAGACGCCTTGAAGACGTGATCAGGCACTGTATCAAATAAACGCAAGGATTGCCTGTAACATACCCTCCAGAGACGCACAAGGATCCAGTTGGTCTGTGCCCATGGTCTCTGTTCATACGGAGCTAAAAGGTTCTTCATCATCGCCATACGCCTACGAGAACATACAGAAATAAGCCAATTACCCTCTGCTGAACAACAATGCCCCACAACAACTTGCACTTAAACAGCCCTTTTCTGATAAAATCACATCTTGAAGAGGGGTTTCGCCTCCAAAATACAGTCAATTCACTTTACAGTATATCCTCTGAAGTGCTTTGAGACGTCTCCTTAAGACATTCCTCTTCGACTGCACATTCGGCCAACCTCTTACCCCTGCCCTCCCCGTCTTCCACCTCCGCGCCCCCGCCCCCCCGATCCCAACCCCCAGCTCAGGTCCAAATCCCTGACTGTCCAGCGCATTATTAACAGTTGCTTCTCTGAACTTACTGCTCCTCTAAAATGCGTTCGACAGCTCGCAGGGAGTGTGGATAGCAAACATAACTGGCAAGTGCCTGCATCAGAGAATCCTTAATGTCTAGAGGAGAATAAACAGAGAGAAAAAAAAAGCAGCGTTGTAAAATTAGTCCAAGGAAATTCTATGAAATGGAACACTCTTCCACTTCCGCCACCCAGTGTCAGCATTAAGCGCCACGCAGATTAGGACAACATGGCTTTCGCTGCTGAGTAAAGCTCCTCCTACTTTGTCCTAATAAAGGAAGATAACATGGAGTCCTGTAGCTCAGTGGTTAGAGCACTCGCCTCGCAAGCGAGAGGACCTGGGTTTGATTCCCGGGCAGGTCAGGGCAAAACGTTGGGCAAGTTTCCTTACTCCACACACACACACGCCTCTGTGTACCAGCAGTGAGTAGGAACCCGGTTGTTAGTTGATTGGCGGAACGCTTTTCTAGGAGTGACAATCCCTTCAAAAACAAAAGAAAATCGGCAGCCAGAAGGTTGGACGACCGTGGGCTCTAGAGTACCTCGTCCCAATATAAAGTCTTACCTGTTCCCACAATCCGAGGATCAGCAAAATGCTTTGCCAAGATTGCAGCCAATCGGCTCAGAGTGTCCTGATATCCTGCGACGAGAGAGAAAGAGAGGGGAGAGATAGAGAGAGAGAGAGGGAGGTGATCAACCGTTTATCCTTGATCACTGTGTAGCACTTTGTTATGTGCGGATGCATATAGATATTAATGGGCAAAATCAGCTGACACTACGGTTAATAAACCAACCAACTGAATTATAGCTCAATACGTATGTACTCTGGTAACGACTCTCCATGCTTACCAGGCAGCTCATCCATGCTATTCACTGGGCTGAAGTAATTCTTCAGAGCACTGTAACTGTTCATCGCGACGTTCAGGTAGAACTCCGGCATAAAGGCAAACAACGACTGCGTGCGGTCACTTCGCTCGATTGTTTTGATGCAGATCTGCAGCAGCCAGTAAATGTCCAGCATCTTCTCCTGAAAAAGGGAAGGAAGAGGTTACTTATTTTAGGGATGAAGACAATCAGCACTTTTCAGAGTAGAATCACAAGCTGATAAGACAAGAGGTTCAAAATTAATCACAGGATAAAACAAGCCACAGAATTCAAGTAAACCGACTGACTGTTTGTGGGGACGCTGCTGTGTGCAATTGACTGCCACATTTCGCCCACAAAATATACAGTCAATTCACTTTACAGTATATCCTGTGAAGCACTTTGAGACGCTTCGAAGCTGTGGTAAGGCACTGTATCAAATGAAGGATTGTTTTTATTATTGTTAATAAACAGGCTGAATAATCTGGCAGGTTTAATCAAAAAGTTCTGTTAAGAGAATGTTCATTAGGATTCCTCGCTGCCAGTTTTAATGCACTGCAGCTCACGCACTCAGCCTCTCCAATGTCTCATTTTGTTATAAATAACTATGTTGAAATAAACTCAGTGTTCCCTGTACAAGACTAATATCATGGCCAGCTTCTATTTGGTACTCTCAAGGGATTGGGAACTTCTCCGCAATGTTTGTGGTTTGCTCCGGCTTCCCAACTTCTCACAAAGGTGCTCTTCCCAGCAGCGTGGTCAACAACAACAACAAATTACATTCACACGGGGCTTTTCACGTCAGGAGGACATCCCAAGGCGCTGGACAGTCAGGGATCCACACCCGAGATGGGAGTTGAGATAAGGTGGTGGGCAGGGAGGGTAGGGGTAGAAGGGTGACCGAAGGTGCAGTCAAAGAGGAGGGTCTTTGAGACGGGTCTTGAAGGAGGCGAGGGAGGGAGTGGTGGGGGGGGGGGGGGGGGGCCAGGTGGAGGGACCATGGGATGGAGTTCCAGACAACAACTTGCAACAACAGAGTGTGGACGTTACCTTTGAGTAGATGGTGGCATTGATCCAGGCAAGTCGCCGGCTCAGGTGGTTGAGTTTCTCAGAAAAGACTCTCTGACTCTTGATCAACTCTTCCATGATGTCCTTCCTCTAAACGGAACAAAGGCAAAGAGTGTTAAGCTGCAGATTCCCCAGTGAACATAAAGCATAACACAACTTCAACTGACCTTCCCCTACGTCAATCAGCCAGGCTTGGCTGTAGTAGTTACAGGCTACAGGAGGGTAGTCTTGTTTGGGCAGCTTTCGCCCACAAAATATAGTCACTACACTTTACAGTATATTCTGTGAAACGCTTTGAGACATCTCAAAGACGTGATACAGCGCGATATCAAATGCAAGGATTATTATGTGTTTTTTTTCCCCCGCAATTGTTGATTTTGAAGTTTGGTTTGATGTGCTCAATATGTTCAAAAGCATCACAACTAACATACAACATATGGCTCTGCTGTGCACTGTACCTCTCCTGATTAATCACCCGTTCATTTACCTTCGAAGGGCATCTTGTGATCTTCTCCTCTGTGTCTTTCAAGGCCACGGCATATTCATGGACATCATCAGAGACCCCAACCATCTGTAAGCACAGAAGAGGATTGAGCTCAACATCACGTCTTCACCCTAACCCGTTACCCCATCTCCTTTGTTACGTTACCTTGCCAAGCTGTTGATGGACACTGAGGTTGTACATCATAATGACTCCATCCAGGATCTCCAGTAAAGATTTCTCTGTGAGTAGCTGATCTCTCACATCGGAAGGACGCCCCACTAACAGACCATCGTTTGCATGGCTCCCCTCAACTGTACAAAGAAGTGAAAAGTCAAGATGTATTAGTAGAAATGAATGTTAATTCTGTCACACAATTACATGGACGGCTACAGCCTGAAAACAGAGATCAGTTGACTTTCGATCTAACTGGATTAACTGACCAAATTATTATTATTATTAATACAAAGCTTTGAATTCAGCTTTGATGGAAGTTGTTGCTTGTGTCACTGACGTACATGAAGAATTAGGTGGTACTTAGCCAACAGCCAACACACCTTTCAAGTGGCGTTAAGAGGTGCCTGTCCTGTGTGCATTAGGTTTAATGACGCGACTGTTGACTGTGCTCATTTCTAAAAGTGCATTCCTGCTCGAGCTGATTTAGCAGCTGTCGAGTCAGAGTGAATTCATTACAATATTAATTTGTTGACTGGATGCACTTTTTGTTGTTTTGCTTTGCAGATGGACAGCTGATCACAGTGTATCTGCACACAGTTAAAGCTGACGATTATTCTGGGCTGCTTCTGTGGAGAACCCAAACCTCTCGTTTTTGTTTTCCCCCAAAGGGATTATTTACTCCCCGGAATATATGTGTGCGTGTGTGTGTGGTATGTGTGCGTGTGTGTGGAGTAAGGAAACCTGCCTAAGTTTTGCCCTGCTCCGTGAACTGAAGGAGATGTGGGAGAAGGCAAGGTTAATGCCCGAGTGGCACAAACACAATCAATTTCACGGACCAAAGTCAGGGACATGCACTACTCACCGTTGCCCCAGCATTGGCGTTTCCAACAGACTGCCCATCACAGTGTTCACTTGCCAGAGGCAACATGGCCATAACCCAATGCCACAATAACGACCATTTAATTCAACCGCGTATACAAGGCTTGCTACAAACCCCTGCTGGGAACACGCAGTACCAGCTGAGTTCATACTTACTGTCCTCTTCCGTCCTCTGCTCCATGTTCAATGTCCGAATCTTCACCTTCTCTACGGTTGTCAACGATCGACGGGGATTCATCAAACTGACCGCCGCTGTGCTCAGGAATCTATTCGCTCGGCCTAACGTAGGTGAACTTAACCAGCTCGGCCTGGCTAGTGCTCCTCCGATTGCAGCAGCTCCAGTTGGCCTCTGCTGTGGTGAGGACATAATAATTATAATAATAATCCTTGCATTTGATACAGCGCCTCACCACGTCTTCAGCACGTCCCCAAAGCACTTCAACAGGTTATACCGTCAAGTGAATCGACTGTATATTTTGGGGGGCGAAATGCAACACAAACAGTCGTGGATTGAGTGACCAAATTATCATTATTTTTTTTTAAAAAAGGGATCATTACCTCCAGAAAAGCGATCCGCCAATCGACTAACAACCGTGTTCGTACTTACTGCTGGGCAAACAGAGACGTGTGTGTGGAGTAAGGAAACTTGCCCAATGTTTGCCCTGTGCTGCCCGGGAATCGAACCCAGGTCCTCTCGCTTGTGAGGCGAGTGCTCTAACCACTGAGCTACGGGACTCCTGTAAGATGAGAAGCTGTAAAATCTGAACACCTCCGAGGCTAAACAAGACAAGGAACGTAGGGCTCAACGGTAATACTTCTCTCTCAAACTCTGTGATTTACGGGAGTTCTGTACCTGCTGAGTTATATTCTCATCGTCCTCATCCAAGTCATCCATGGAGATAGCTGAGATCTCGGCAGGGTCAATAATGATGTTTGCTTTTGATGCAAGATCATCTGTCAGAAACACAATATGGGGAACAACACAAATTAGTTTCACCCTCAACACATGTTTCCCACCAATGTTGATATGAGCATAAATATGTTCTGATGAAAGATCAACGACCTGCAACACCGATTCTCTCCATAGATAATAGTACTAATCCTTGCGTTTGATATAGCGCTTTCCAAAGCGCTTCACAGAATAGACTGTAAAGTGAATTGACTGTATATTTTTGGGCGAAACGCGGCAGCCAATCGCGCACAGCAGCGTCCCAACAAAGTCGTGGATCGAGTGACCAAATTGTTATTTTATTTATTTTCTGAGTATGTTCCAATCATCTCTGTGCCGCCCCACTCTATCTCCCACTCTCTCCCTCCCAAAGTTGGTCTCTCTCTCTCACAACCTAATCTGCGTCTGTCTTGTTGATCTATTTAGAGTTGAGATACAGATCAGCCATGATCTAATAGATGCTGCCTGACCTGCTGAGTGTTCCCGGTGACATCTGGTTTTATTGCATATGAATATACTTGGGGCGGGTATTTTGCTAATATTTCTCCCTGCACCTGTGGTGGAATAATCAGACAGCATTCTGGAAACCATGAAAAACATAGGGGACAGAAGTAAGAGTCAACATCTTCCAAATAGAGGGACGGAATACAAATCTGCATAAGCGTGCTCCTACCAGAGAAACAGTTTAATACGGCGGTTTAAGTTTCCTTTGATTTAATCTCTAGTATATTTTTCACTTTGTTGAAATTGTTGAGGTCATCGGTACCCAAGATAATCACAATAATACCCCTTATGTTTGATATAGCGCCTGATCCCGTCTTCGAGACGTCTCCACAGGAAACACTGGGAAGTGAATTAACTCTATATTTTGTGGGTGGAAAATCACCAGTTTAAGGTAACAGTCCCCAAAACACTATTTTAATTCTGCATTTGGAATTCCATCATCAGCACTGCAGGCTTGGCCAAATCAACAGCCAATTCTTAGGAACAGAACCTGTCCCATTGGGAAACAAACACATTCACAGCGATCACTGTGAAAGCTTCCTCAATTCCTAATCAGCAATATTAAGAAGCTGAAACCATGCCCCAAAAAAAACCCAAACCTTCAGTAATCTCAGTGATGGAATTTTTAACAACAACAAAATTACATTTATAGAGCGCCTTTCACGTCAGGAGGATGTCCCATCATAAACGAAAACAACATAATAAGCATCGTAAACAAAATAAACTCACTGCTGCCTTCAGCAACTATGCCCCCACCCTTTAGAATTCCCTCTCTCTACCCTGTCATCTTGGACCATCTCTATCTGTCTTTAAATCCCACCTAAAAACTGACCACTTTAACCATTCCTATGGTCACCTCCCCTTCTCTCTTGCTCAACATTCGACACCTTCCCCATGAAGCACTTTGAAACAACATCCTATGTGAAGGCTGCTATACAAATGGAGTCCTGTAACTGATTGATTAGAGCACTCGCCTCGCAAGCGAGAGACCGGGTTCGAGTCCCAGGCAGGGCGAAATGTCGGCCAAATTTCCTTACTCCGCACATCTCTGTTTACCCCGCAGTAAGTAGGAATCCAGTTGTTGGTCAATTGGCAAATGGCTTTTCCAGGGCTTAGAATTCCTTAAAAAATACACTGCTGTGCACAATTGGCTGCCGCGTTTCGCCCACAAAATATATGCAGTCAAATCTCTTTACGGTACATTCTGTGAAGCACTTTGAGATGTCTAGAAGACTTGATGAGGCGCTGCTTGAAATGCAAAGAGTATATTTTATATATCATCTCCAAGCAGCAGCAATACAAACAGTAGCAGCTTCTGAATGAGCACATTAAAAAAATTGGGAGGCTTCGGAAACGACAAGAGCTGCCTTAATCAAAGCAGCCTCTTGTTGAACCGATCACAAGAACTGCACCAGAAACGGAACATTGAACAGTGAGCAAGTGTTGGGATTCTCAGTATTATTATTTTACTGTTGTTCTCTGGCAATGTAGAGAGTTTGATGAAGGACTGGTGATCAAAACGTCCTGAGGGGTAAATGACAACTCAGGAAATTGATTACTTTTGCATGTGCAACTGCAGTAAACCAGCCCCTAACTAAGCACATTCCTCATCCAGGCAGGACTGCGCTGTACACAGCCAGTGGGCATTTATTCAGCCATTCAGCTACATTAATAAAAAAAATTAATTTAACGTTGAGAAACACTCCGTCTTATGGTACGTCTAACAGTGGAAGGAATGAGCCTGAATTCGCCCTGCAGACATCATAATCGACAGTTTTTTAAAAAAAAATAACTTGTCTTTATACATTTTAGGAATCTGAAAGCTAAACCCAATGTTCCAGCTTGCCCTTGAGGCTCCCTCTCAAGAATATAGCTTCAGGGAATATAGCTCCATCTCCTCTCCTCCTCTCACCTCCAAGGCGGGGATTTTATCTGTGGCTTCCTACTGTCAATGAGGGTTTCAGACCAAGTCATCTGAGACTGTTATTGGACTTGTCCGAAATACAATATCTTCTCTCGTTTACGACAATAATCATCCCCCAATAGTTGGCGATGGGGGAAGGAAGGAGCACTTTACACTGAAAGTGCTTTTACCCTGAGCAATATCCCTTGATAAAAATTCATCGCACTGAAGGAGAACACAGCTGTTGATTTGACCGCTGTTGATTTGACTGCTGTGATATTTGCTCGGATGAGAACGGAGGCATTGCACGAGGATGTGATTTGATTTGCCTGGTTCCCAAGTAATGAAGTCGAAGATTTTGTCTGGTTCAAACAAGGGGGCAAATGGGTCTAAGTGATGCTTATGTTACCATTGTTGATAGAGCGGCACTGATTAGCTCTTCTGCAGTGTGTACTGAGCTTACGTACTGTGGTCAGGATTACCAAAGCACACTTTAGAAGCAAAGGCCATAGATACGAAAATTATGAAGGGATGAATCCTGAATAGGTGCCTCTTCAGGCAGCCAAAAGGAAGATTGAAAATTGAGAAACTTGGCAAAATATAGTCTAATGATTGAATCCTAAATAGTTCTTATTCACAGGCGGGTTTCACCCACAAGATACACTGTCAATTCACTTTACAACATATTCTGTGAAGCGCTTTGCGACGTTCGAAGACTTGATAAGGTGCTGTATCAAATGCAAGGATTATTATTCTTAATTATTATAGGAAAGTTAATAGTTTGGCAGTTACTCATTTGAGTATCAGGATGGTGGTGTTGGTGGGGGGGAGGGCAGGAAAGAGAGGGAGGGAGTGAGTGAGGAGAGTAGTTAAGGCAGCCTATCAGCAGATGCTACTAATATCCGTTGCCTCACCTTTCAGAGCTTTTTTCAGATGGGACAGAAGGCCACCCAGTCGCTGCAGGTCAAAGTAATCCACCTTCCCATTGTAAAACAGCTGAGGGGGAACAAAGGCATCTGGAAACAGAAAAGCACCGTAAACTCTCTGCGTGTCCTGGTTCAACAGACTGTAAATCGTCAATATTTATCAATATCGTGTTGACCCCATAAGTCGAATCCCGAATGGGTAGGATGGTCCCGGCTGAACAAGCAGGGGCAAATGGTGTGATTTTAGCTGGTCTCAATCCACGGCTGTTTGTGGGGACGCTGCTGTGCGCAATTGGCTGCTGCGTTTTGCTCACAAAATAAAATACAGTCACTCCACTTTACAGTATATTTTGTGAAGCACTTTGAGACGTCTCGACAACGTGATAATGCAACTGCAAGGATTATTATTATTAATGTGGAGTAGACTGTGACTCAATGCAGTAGCTCCTTGTGTACAGATATCCTGTTTATCGTAATGAATTGTATGTCATTACAGGATGAATTTTAAGTACTTGATAAAAGCAAATGGTTAATCAAAGACTGGTTTCTACAGCCAGGTAGTGTGAGTGACTGCATGGAACAGACAAGCCCGTAATATACAGTACAACTTCATGCAAGATGCCTAGGCCTGCCCTTATAAACTGCAGTCAGATCTTCACCATACTGTGTGCTCAAAGATTCCCAGAAAATAATTTAAGGATATCAGATGTCTGTACGTGCCTTCACTGGCAATCGCGGATGGATTTCTCCGCCTGTACTCATCCCAGTAGCTTCGCAAAGCAGCAATCAGTCGATGTAGGAAGCAGACCATGTACTCGGGTGGACAAAGGATTGTAGGGTTCTGTAAAGAGCAGACAGCAATGTTAATAATAATCCTGGCATTTGATACAGCGCCTTATCACGTCTTTGAGACGTCTCAAAGCGTTTCACAGAATATACTGTAAAGTGAATTGACTGTATATTTTGTGGGCAAAACGTGGCAGCCAATTGCGCACAGCAGCGTCCCCACAAACAGTCATGGATTAAGTGACCATATTAGTATTATTATTTCCAACTGTTTACACCAACAAGCAGACGTGGTCACAATGATGGCTAGTTCAAGCAGCCCTTTTAAGATGTAAGGAAGCCTTGTTGTGTAGAATTGGTTGTGTGATTGAGGACTACAACACAAAAAGAAAATTGGCTGCTATGTTTTTTCAAATGCAAGGATTCTTAATTATTATTATTATTGCTGTAACCATCAGAGACTCACCCCTCGACTGCTCGCATTCTCTTGTAGAAACTTTCGAAACTTATTCAGGAAAATATATCTGGAAGCCTCACCCTGAAATAAAAGGGAGTTAAATATTTTTCATGTTCAACAGAACCTCTAGTGATCATATCAGAATGATTTGGTCACTGTTACTGTAATTTGCAGGACGCATTGCCAGCTGGTGCATATACACTCGAGGTCTGAGGATAATGACAAAACATTGCAGCAGAATCATGTAATGATCCCTGCTGGAAGATGGACACCTCTGAATATTGGGTGAGGAGAGGATTGGGATTGCTAGTGATGTCCCACAGCAACGTAGGAATGGATGGAAACAGAAGGTGTTCCATCTGGTGCCCTGTTGGCTGAATAGCCTGCTAACATTGACGGTCAAGGTTTCAACATGAATTACTGCCACTTGAGCAATCGATTGAAGGGCGCGCATTGCACCAAACCCAAACAGAGGATAGAAGGAATCACAAATAGCCGGTGAATGTCACCACTGAGACGGTGGTCTGCGGGTTACATATAGGAACACGGTCAGAGAACTCCGAGTTCAATGATAGACCCCACTTACCAAGCGCCCCCCCTCCCAATCCTCCCCACCAAGGGGGTTAGTCTGTATTCCTATTAGTACTTCCCTCCCCTCTTATCTATCTGGAATCTATTATTGTTCATATCTTCTCCATAAGATATTAAATATTTTTTTATTGAGATACAGGGATTACAAGTCACAATGCAAGATTAGCTTTCAAGACAGGGTGATAGGGTGGTGAGATATTAAGCGCATGTTTACGGCACAGTTGCTGTCGCATTACTTACCGACGACCCCTTATCTTTGTTGTTGAGAAACAATTTCAAGATCTGAACCTGCAGTTCCTCTACGACTGAAACACAGAACCATTAGACACCATTAGTGGCCATTTTACCCTGGATGGAACCGCTAAAGCCAATCAGAACTCGCACTATAACAGGTGTGGGCTGATACAGTTGGAAATGTCTTATTGCTAACGTGCTACGTTTGCCGATTGTAACCATGCATTCGCAGATTGCATACCCACCGTACAATTACCACTGATAATAATTCTCGCATTTGATACAGCGCCTTATCATGTCTCCGAGATGTCTCAAAGAATACACTGTGAAGTGAATTGACTGCATATATTGTGGGAGAAACGTGGCAGCCAATCGCGCACAGCAGTGTCCCCATGAAGAGTCGTGGATACGTCAAATGCAAGGATTATTATTATCATCAAATAAACTATTTTGAATTCTATGAAAAAAAAGGTCTTGATGCCCTACAGCGATCCTGACTGATGGGAGTGTGGATCCCTCTACTGCTCAACGCCATTCACTGCAACAGGAGGGGCTCTTGTGTTTATGTATTCAGTGACAACACTGCCATTCTACAAACAGGACCAGATTCAAGGATAATAAGCACCATCCAGCCTCCCAAACACCTCAGCAATTCCCTCAGGGTGCTCCCATCTAACCCAGCAATACATTTAGAGCTATCTCTTAAACCGTCATTGTATTATTGTACCTTCTAGAGATAAATCTATACCAAATGCAGCGATTATTATAACAATCAGAATATATTGTACATACTCATTTAACTGTTGCATTGCATCGTATCTATGTAAGCCATGGAAATTGCGATAATAATGATAGTAATCCTCAAGAGAGACTGTGTTAATTGCATCCATTAGCGATAGGATTGAAATACAATACAAATTACATTTGTATAGAGCCTTTCACATCAGGAGGACATCACACCACTTAGTCGTTCTTTCCTCAGCCAGATACAAACCTTCAATACGTTTCTTTAATCGCTGACAACCGCGTTCATACGCCCGGCGTCTTAGCCTCTCCTCAGCACTTTCCTCTCTCGTCTCTTTCCCCTAACGAGAGAAATGGCAAATGTTTTAAAATCGACATCCGCAGGCAGCAAACGTGGGTCTGGGTCAAAGAAGCAGGTCTTCGGGTGATTATTCGAAAGCAGAGGAGCAGAGGGGTGAAAGTGGAGGGATTTTGTATTGTAAGTACAATACAAAATTGTACAATACAAAATTACATTTGCACGGTAGCTTTCATGCTGGGAGGACGTCCCAAGGCACTGGACAGTCAGGGCTTTGACCCAAGCGGTGGGTGAGGAGGGTGGGGGGGGGGGGGAGAGGTCTTGGGGTAGGGTAGGGTGGAGATCAGGGAGCGTGACCTACAGCCTACAGTAGCTGATGGTGGGGTGGAGCAGAGCGGGTGGGGAAGCAGGACGAGGTTGGTGGAGATGGACTGACCGGGTTACTAGGATTACAGTGATCCAAAGCTATGGAGGTGTCTGAAGTTAAAGACAATGAACACTCACTCACCTCTTTGTCAAACCTTGTTGGCCACCATGTGGTGGGAATGAGCTCCTCCAACCCCGCCTCCTCCACTCGAAGTGGGGTCTTGATGAAGAAAAACACAACTGAACGCAGCACGTCAAACGTGGTCTCAAATTAAGGGAATTAAAGGTTTTTAAAAGCGCTTAATCTACGGAAATAGAAAGATCAATCACCTTCGCCCCGAAAGTGAATCCCCTGCCCCTCATTATCTATTTTTTTGAAGGGATTGTTGCACCCGGAAAAGCGATCCTTCAATCGACAAACAACTGGATTCCTGCTTACTGCTGGGAAACAGAGGCGTGTGTGTGTGTGTGGAGTAAGGAAATTTGCCTAACGTTTCGCCCTGACCGGGAATCGAACCCGGCTCTCTCGCTTGCGAGACGAGCGCTCTAACCGCTGAGCTACAGGACTCCACATCGCACTTCAACGGTTGAGTCACAGAACTGAGCTGGCCGAGCGAGGAGCAAGGCACAGAACGGCTTCAGGTTCTTTGGTACGAATGATAAAGTGGTCTTCGGAATATACCTTTGAACAAGAGTCCCTCAGGGAGTTTTGCTCCTCATGCAGGATTCATTGGATAAGCTTAAAGGATATAAGACATTACTGAGCAGATATTTCCTGGTTTTCTCGTGCCGCAGAATAGCTATGGTGAGGCGCAAGTAGTGGATCTGGAAAAAGATACAGAAATACGAGGCTTGTTAGCTCCCAGAGATGACACAATTCTGCACAATGTAACACAACCCTAGGTTTATAAGAGCCAGCAGTTGGGATCTTCAGCAAATTTATCTCAATGCGCTTCACACTGTAAAATGTAGTGACTGTGTATTTTGTGGACGAAATGCGGGGCAGCCAATTGCAACAGCGGCGTCCCACAGACAGTCGTGGATTGACTGAACAAAGTATTTTTTCTTTGATGGGATTATTATTACCCAGGGAAAAAAAAATCTATCATTATTTCCTATTAGAACAAGGTCGTCAGTTTGCAGGACTCGAGTTAAAGGGATGAACAGAGTTTTTGCATAACTAAAATAATAATAATAATCCCGGCATTTGACACAGCGCCTTATCACGTCTTCGAGACGTCTCAAAGCGCTTCACAGGATAGGCTGTAAAGTGAATCGACTATATTTTGTGGGCGAAATTTACTTTGGGGAGGCGACAAGTTATCTCACCTGAAGTCCTAAATCAGGGATTATAGGAGAAAACCGGTACGCCCGAAGCAATGACATCATCAGCTGTTTTAAACACTCCTGCACTTCATAATCCTGTCGCAAAAGAAACAAACAGAATCATTTTCAAGTATTTTGTTATTGGAAACAGCAAAGAGAATAAATTCACAGCTTCTTCTCAACTTCCAGAAACATGGGGGTTTTGTTGTTTTCTCTTAACGATAAGGAAACATCATTTGATCAGCATTTAGTCTCAATGAGGGGTTGAATGGCCTGTTCCTATGTGCCCCAGTAACTCTGCACACTCACCTCCATTAAGAGCCACATGAGGTCCAGCAATTGCTGAATCAGTGGGTGTTCGTCCACTGAACCACCGACCTCCAATATACTCAAGAAATAAGTCATCAGTACTTCTTCCACCAGGTAAACTTTACACTGTTCACAACACAAGTAAAAATTGATCAAGGATACGAAATACTAATTCTCGCACGTCGATAAGATACTGTAAAGTGAATTGACTGTGTATTTTGTGGGTGAAACTTGGCAGTCAATTGCGCACAGCAGCGTCCCCAGAAACAGCCGTGGATTCAGTGACCAAATTATTATTTTTTATTACAAATTTTTTTAAGGGATCATTATCCTCCGGAAAAGCGATCCGCCAATCGACTAACAAACGGGTTCCTACTTACTGCTGGGTAAACAGAAGCGTGTCTGAATGTGGACAGGTACACAGAAGCTGTGTGTGGAGCAAGGAAACTTGCCCAATGTTTTGCCCCGTCGCTGATATCTCTACTGCTGTATTGAATGAGCTCGGACACTTGCCATTAGGGGCGCGAAGCGGTTGAAGATGTGAGCGAGGGCGATGATCACAGTGGGCTCTCCTTCAGCTTGCCACAAAGACGCTCCCTTCACAGTCAACTTGGCTTCCTTTGACAAGGAGAGATCGCATGAGAGAAAGCAAAATACTGTAATAACGTTCCAGCTCCACAAACATTACAACAGTTCAAACTAAAGTGACATGTTATTGATCATGATAGTGCCTGGCTGGCTGCCTGTACGTCTAGTATTATTGTATAATTATTATTCTACTATTATTACCTGTACGTCAATGCCGGTAGTGATCACGTTCTTCAGGTATCCCAACAGTTTGTGGGCCTTCGTGAGATCTGCCTCAGGTGGATTTTGCATTGGACGATATCCTTCCATTGGATATGTGTGAAGAAGCTAAAGAAAGTAAAGTCTTTTGGAGACTATGGCCCAAGTAGTCCTCTAGGCTCAAACTTAACTCATGACAATAACACGAATAAGAATTGTGGAGTCACAAATCTCAGTGGTTAGAGCACTCGCCTTGCAAGCGAGAAGACCTGGTTTGATTCCAGGACAGGGCGAAACATTGGGCAAGTTTCCTTACTCCACACCCACGCCTCTGTTTACCAGCAGTAAGTAGGAACCCCGATGTTAGTCGATTGGTGGATCGCATTCCTGGGGGTAATAATCCATTCCAAAAAAATAATACTTTGGTCACTCAATCCACGACTGTTTGTGGGGACACTGCTGTGTGCAATTGACTGCCGCGAGTCACTCACAAAATACGCAGTTAATTTACAGCATATCCTGCGAAGTGCTTTGAGATGCCAAAGACGTGATGAGGCACTAGATCAAATGCAAGGATTATTATTATTATTATTAAGACCAAAATTCTCACTCAAAACCTGCACAAAGGATATCGTATGGGGCGGCTTCCGAAGTTGAAAGCCACGGATTCTTTGAAGGACAGGCTGATAGCTGGGAAGTAGGCCAAACCAGGGCCCAATTTGATGTTATCAAATGCAACGCCCAAAGATATCCCATTTCTGGAAAAGGAATTGCCAACAAACTGGTTACTGTTCTCAAGAGAGATAACATTACACATTAATAACTTCCATCCAATTCGCTTACAATTCATGTGCCCCCCTGCCCTGCCCGCCAGCTCCAGCATCGGAGGTCGAGCCATAGGTCTATCCCCCCCTACTCTCCTTCCTGGAGTTCCTTGGCCTCGCACCGTTCCTCGCCTCCTTCAAGGTCCACCTCGAGAGCTTCCTCTTTGACCGCATCTTAAGTCTTCTTCCCACTTCCATCCTCCTTGTCCCCAAAACAGATTCAAAGAATTTGATAAGCAACCAATACTCACAGACAGAAGCCAATCTTCCCTTCGTCTAGGTCTATTACACACGTGACGATATCCCCAGCCGCCCAAGACTGGAGGGGAAAAAATAATTGCGAATTACTGATGGCAGAGAGGAAACTAAATGCAGGAAATAAGACATTTGAAAGTGGGGGCAGATGGATGTCTGCCTGCAGCAGGCAATGCCGGTGAGTTTTAATATTCCAAACCTTGCATATCTTGTACTTACTTTTCCATAACTGGTGGTAGTGACATTCCATTTCCGTACTCGGTTCCCATCGTAAGCGTAAGAATCTGGAGTATCACCCACTCCCTCCTGTTCGTGGACACGTGGACATCAGATCAATGCGCTGGACAACCTGACAGCGAACTATTGCTATCATACCTCCAGTCACAAAAAATATACCTGCCCCTTACTGTACTAGTGTCTGGTCTTCATAAAACAATCCCTTCCAAAAGAAAAAAATATATATATTTGGTCACTCAATCCATGACTGTTTGTGGGACGCTCCTGTGTGCAATTGGCTGCTGCAAAAATATACAGTCATTACCCTTTACAGTATATCCTGTGAAGCGTTTTCTCGAGATGTCTCAGTAGATTAACTGCGATAACAATAAAATTTGCAGGGCTAAGGGGTAAGAGCGGGGGAGTGGGACTAGTTGGGGCAAGAGCAGGGAAGTGGGGCTAGTGGGTAGCTCTTTCAGAGCTGGCACAGGTATGGTGGATCGAATGGCCTCCTTCTGTGCTGTAAACATTCTATGATTCTAACTATTTTCTCTCAGATATCGTACGAAAAACAGTCTATCGTGAATCCGTCGACACCTATGTGTGGTACCCGCTCACCTCCTGGTTGAACCTGCAGTGAAGAGTGCACCAGCCAATCTGCATCAGGCCCTGAGAGGAGATCAGAACCTCGTACATCCATTTCCCTGAGGGGAAAGAGGACAAGAATCGGGAGAGGAACATTACACACCGACACGCGAGAGTTCTGAGGCAGAAGTAATAATAATAATCTTGGCGTTTGATATAGTGCCTCACCTTGGTACACGCACGTAGTGGCTCGGATAGAGCTGAAATTGCTGTGGCCAACAACCTAAAAGAAAGGAAGGCACAGTTAAGTTCCACGTTAGCACCTACACTGTAGCCATTCCCTCTGTTGCGGAAAGGGTAGAATGAACACGACAACAACAACTTGCATTTACGTAGGGCCCCTCACGCAGGGTAGTGTCCCAGAGCGCCATTAGCTAACATAATGGATGGCGAGAGAAAGAGAAGAGACACACATACACGTGCAAAGTATTATTGGAATCTATTACATTATACCACGCAAGCTTTTTTTTTTAAAAAAAGACCATTTGTCAGAGTATCCTCGTACTCTACAGCGAAGCCTAAACCAGCAGCCTTTTTTTTCCCGAGGTACTTACACCGAGCAAATCATCATCTACGAGCAGCAAGCCCTCGAACCCGCTGGTGTGATCGAGCACAACCATGGCTGGGCCGAGACGTCCATCAACACTTTGCTCTGAAATTTACAAAGTCAAACCATCAATCGGCAACTCTCCGCGTCTAGCAGATTCACAGCAAATCATACAAGGGAATAACGTCTGAAATATATACATGGTACCGATTATCGGGATAACTCTTCACTGGAAGGGAAAATACACGCCCACAAAATACGCACAGTCACGACACTTTACGGGATACGGTGTGAAGCGCTTTGAGACGTCTCGAAGACGTGATAAGGTTCTGTATCAAATGCAAGGATTATTATTATCATTATTATTAATAAAAGGGCCAAGTTATCCAGAGGGGCGAGTTAAATTCAGCCGGGCTACTGATAGGATAGGTGAGTCACCTAAGTGGTCAGGGTGGAGTTATCAGGACTTTACCGCACTTGTTCTGTACAATCTGTTGCAGACTGCAATGGGGTTCAGGTGTTTTTTTGGCGTCGAATGGATAGCTAGGTGTCAGATCTGGGTTGGAACTAATAAACGATAATGGTTAATAACACACATTATTGCTGGGATCTCACCTTTGTTCTCGGCCTCACTGTCAATGCCATCAGATAACAACCGATCCAAGTGTTCGTTCAAGTTTTGAAAGTTCAAAGGTTTTCTGCGACAAAGAGTGAGAAAATATAACAACCTCTATAATAATAATAATGATCCTTGCATTTGATTCAGTGCCTTATCACTCCTTCACAAACACAAATTTCCCTCCATACTCTGTTCTGAGGTAACGGATTTGACACAAGTTAACGCACACTATAAATACGGCAAGGCAAGGAGATGCAGTCTCTACAGGCCTGGGTAAACTGAGCTGCATCGTCCAGCCACACTGCCAGGATTAATTGGGGATTTCTGACTCATGTTGGACCAGAGACGGCCACAGCTGAACAGGACACTAGCTGACATTCAGCACTAATACACTGCCTGTCCAGCCAGAACTACACCATCTACTGGGGGTTTAGCTTGCAGTGGTTAACAGGAGTTGAAAGAGAAGAATCCCTTTCTCCCTGATCTGCTGATGAGTCAGGCTCGATGATCTGTTATCAACACTATCTTGGGAGTATTGAGGACAACATGTATTTACCCCTCACGTCCCAGAGCGCTTGACAATGGCGGAGGATCATGCGGAGCCGCGGGGAGGTGACCATACATACGGTCAAAGAGGAAAGTCTTCAGGTTCAACCTGAAGATGGAGAAGGAAGTGGCCGGGCAGAGGGATAGAGGGAGAGTGTTCCAGAGTTTCAGGGCGTAGTGGTTGAAATGAGTCACCTGTACTGAAGGTTCCACAATGTGTGCACAAGCAACTAACACCTGCATTGTTCACATTGTACATCACTCAGAGGTCTGACTCAGGTGCCAGCTGAGACACCCAAACACTTGTTGGTTAAATGCGGTTGATATATATCTTATTAAACACCGTGTACCTGAATGTTGCTGCCAGCCCTCTGTTCTCAGAGCTGGGGAAGATGTGGTGGAGGAAGTCACTGAGGAGCTTGTCGTTCACAATACCTACACCAACAAATACAACAGTGTAATGTTACTCTGCTGTAGAATGAGTTCATGATGGTTCTCTCAAACATGAATTTTGGTTTCATCATTAATCTACATTCATGGGAATAACGGTTTATAGAAACATACAAACCACAGAACCAGGAGGAGACCATTCAGCCCCTCGAGCCCGTTCCACCATTCTATAAGATCATGGCTGATCTGTACCTCAATTCCAATTACCCGCTCTTGCCTATTATTAACAATAATAATAAAAATAATAATATACGTAATCATTTTATTAATAATTTAACTTGCTTTACTGTCCAATAAACTATGATGCCTGAAGCCACAGAGGGATTATTACCTAAGAAGAACTGACTACTCTGATCACTACAGATAATTGATTGGTCTACAGTTAAATAAATATTGACTTAACTTTTCAAGCTATAACTACTGTACTGTTATACACCTATTATTGAAGCACACCCCAGGGGACAATAATGTCTTTATGTAATTAGAACAAACTGTCAGTCACCTTTGTAACCCTCAAGTCACCTATTACAATCTTTAGCAATGTTGCTAAGTCGAAGTGGTTCAATCGAGCCTACTCCCAACCCGACCCCGTTCAGCCTAGGATCCCAGTGCTGCTGTCGGTCTTGGGAGTTTTAGCAAAGTTATATCCGCAGATCCCAGCAAATATCACTCTAGCAACTAATAATGAAAACAAAACATTTTAAAAAGCCAAGCAACATTATTGCCTCCACCACTATTAGCGGACTGATCGAATCCTACCTGTGACCTTTGGTTTCTCCGTGTCAGAGCTCAGTTGATAACTCTTTCTGGACAGTGATGAGTTGCTGTTTTTTGACGTCATCTTTCACGTTAGTGTCGGCAGAGACCCGTTGACCTGCTGGCGGACAATGATTCAACGTGAGCCACAAGGCACCAAAATTCATCCCGAACGCAAGATTCTGGACAGAGTCAAGATCCAATACAGAGCTTCACAGAACACGCGCCCTGCGCGGTTCTACACGGGCGGCTTTGGGGGTTACAGGGGCCGGGCTGGGGGCTGAGCTGAGTACCACTTTACAGTGTATCCCGTGAAGCGCTTTGAGACGGCTCGAGGACGTGATGAGGGGCTGTGTCAAACGCACGGATTATTATTGTTATTATATTATTATGATGATGACGGCAGGGGTGGAGTTGGGCTGAGTGTCAGTCTCAGTTGCTCTCCTGTTTACTTCAAATAACCACGACAGGAGGATGATGAAGCAGCATTTCTGGTCGCAGCTCATTAGGTGAGGCTGGGGCCTGGGGGGGGGGGGAGAGGGGCGGAGAGGCAGCGAGAGGGGGAGGGAGGGAGGGGCCTGGGGCGAGGGGGGGGCAGCTGAGCTGTGGGGAAGATGAGGGTGGGGGCTGTGTGGGGGGGCTGTGTGGGGGGGGGATGAGGGTGGGGGCTGTGTGGGTGGGGGTGGGGGGGGGCTGTGTGTGTGTGTGTGAGGGGGGGTGAGGGTGGGGGGTGTGTGGGGGGGGGTGGGGGCTGTGTGGGTGTGTGTGAGGGGGGGGTGGGGGCTGTGTGTGTGTGTGTGAGGGGGGGTGAGGGTGGGGGTGTGTGGGGGGGGGTGGGGGCTGTGTGGGTGTGTGTGGGGGGGGGGGATGAGGGTGGGGGCTGTGTGGGTGGGGGTGGGGGCTGTGCGTGTGTGTGTGAGGGGGGGTGAGGGTGGGGGTGTGTGGGGGGGGTGGGGGCTGTGTGGGTGTGTGGGGGGGGGATGAGGGTGGGGGCTGTGTGGTGTGTGTGGGGGCTGTGTGGGTGGGGGGGGGGGGCTGGTGTGTGTGTGTGAGGGGGGTGGGGGCTGTGTGGGTGTGTGTGAGGGGGGGTGGGGGCTGTGTGGGTGTGATGAGGGGGTGGGGGCTGTGTGGGTGTGTATGAGGGGGTGGGGGCTGTGTGGGTGTGTATGAGGGGGGTGGGGCTGTGTGGGTGTGTATGAGGGGGGTGGGGGCTGTGTGGGTGTGTATGAGGGGGGGGGGTGTGGGGGTGGGGGGTGGGGGCTGTGTGGGTGTGTGGGGGGGTGGGGGCTGTGTGGGTGTGTGGGGGGGTGGGGGCTGTGTGGGTGTGTGAGGGGGGTGGGGGCTGTGTGGGTGTGTATGAGGGGGGTGGGGGCTGTGTGGGTGTGTATGAGGGGGGTGGGGGCTGTGTGGGTGTGTGGGGGGGTGGGGGCTGTGTGGGTGTGTATGAGGGGGTGGGGGCTGTGTGGGTGTGTGGGTGGGGGGTGGGGGCTGTGTGGGTGTGTGAGGGGGGGGGGGGTGGGGGGGGGGGGTGGGGGGTGTGTGGGTGTGAGGGGGGACTTGAACTCGGTGCTGGGCCTCTGGTATCCGAGCAGTGACTCTCTGGGCTCCGGTCCCTCTCTGTCGCGCTCCTCTGTTTTCTGGGACAAACCTGTGTGTGTGTGTGTGGGGGCGGTGTGGGGGGTGTGGGGGGGGGAGGGTGTGGGTGTGGGGGGAGAGGGTGACGGTAACTAACGGTCTCTGTGTCTCACAGCGTCTCCTCCGCCGCCGCCATCTTGAACTACGGGTCCCCCCCGGGCCCCGCCCCCCGGCCCCGCCCCCCAGCCCCGGGCCCCGCCCCCCGGCCCCGGGCCCCGCCCCCCGGGGGGCGGTTTCGAAACGCGTTCGTTCTCAGAGTCACAGCTTTGCTGATCCTTAATGGCTGAGTTAGCTGTGCCCCCCCAACACCCCCCAATAATAATAATAATAATAATCCCCAAAGCGCTTCACAGAACACACTCGAACGCGGCAGCCAATTGCGCACAGCAATGTCCCACAAACAGTCGTAGATTGAAAATGACCAATAACTTGGCCAATAACCACTGAGCTACAGGACTCCACGCAGGGCTGAGTTAGCTGTGCCCCCCCCAACACCCCCCAACACCCCCAATAACACCCCCCAACACCCCCCCCAACCCATTCCCCCCAACACCCCCTCCCAACCCATTCCCCCCCAACACCCCCCTCCCAACCCATCCCCCCCCCAACACCCCTCCAACCCATCCCCCCCCCCAACACCCCCCTCCCAACCCATCCCCCCCCAACACCCCCCTCGCCCACAAGATGTGCAGTCAATTCTCTTTCCAGTATATTCTGTGAAGCGCTTTGAGACGTCTCGAAGAAGTGCTGAGGCGCTGTGACAAATCCCAGGATTATTGTCATTGCAATATAGACTGTGACTGAAATTCCATCTGAGCTGATTCAACTTAGCACGGCCGGGAACTGCACTGGGACCTTTCTGGATCTCAGTATAACAGGCTCTGGAACTCCATCCCCAGTGCCTTCGCCGCCTCCTCCCTTTCCTCCTTCAAGGCCGGTCTCAAGACCTTTCTCTTTGACCGTACCTTCAGCTCCGCTCTCGACTCTCTTCCCCCTCCTCGCTCCCTCCCTTCCCTCCCCTCCCCCTGACCATCTCCTCCCTCCTCGCTCCCTCCCTTCCCTCCCCTCACCCTGACCATTTCCCCCCTCCTCGCTCCCTCCCTCCCCTCCCCTCACACTGACCATTTCCCCCCAATGCTCGGGTCCCGACCCAACTGTCCAGCGCCTTGGGACGTCCTCCCGACGTGAAAGGCGCTCTATCAATGGAATCGTGTGGTGGTGGTGGTTGTTGTTGTGCATTTACTCACTGGGTCATCAGCGAGTGCCCCGCAGACCAATTTCCGACAATACCGAAACAGCACACACAACAGCAAAGTGGAATAGATTTCCTAAATGTGTTTTATTTTATACATAACTGTGACAATATGGGAGGTAACACTGTCAAACACAGGTCACAAAGATACAGTATGTTCATGCCCACAGATTCCTGAAGAGATACAGTCTGCTACCAATTTGAAGATACAACGGAAATACAATTGAAAAGAAATACAATTGAAACTACTTAGAATAAATTAGTAATATCGTTAACAAAATAATTCCCATGTATGCTTGGCAGCCAAGTTGTGGGGAGGGGGGGGGGGGTGCGGGGGCTGTCTGTCGGGTTCGGTCGATGGTGTGCAGATTTTAATGGGGGTTCCCTGTATTTCTGCACGGTAGCTGAATAAAATTACCAGGAGCCTACACACCATCTGCTAACCAGAAAGCATACTCAGCCTTGTCCTGTGTTTGTGACTATTCCCCCCCCCCCCTCCCCACCCACCCACCTACCCCCACCCACCTACCCCCACTCCCCAATACGACTGAGCGTTTTTTTTTCAGTCTAAAGTCTGTGACGCACAACTCTTAGCAAAGTTGCAGTATCCCCTCCTATTTGGCGGCAACCGTCACTCGAGCGTGCACAACATTCCCTCAAGACGACACACTTCAGTCAGCAGTCACTCCGCACTCCCGCTTTTTGTTTCTTCACAGTGCAATGTTTTGACGATCGTCTCTCAGGCCAGAAACACAAAAAAAACGTACAGCGCGAGGAACTCCGCGAGGGGCCGGGTTGTACAGCTCAGGGAATGTTGTGCGGAAGTTCGGCGTCGAGTATGGGTCGGAGATTCGCAGGACATTAAACCGTTGCGATTTTGCAGGGCAGTAAATCCCGCAGCACAGTGTGGTGAAACGATGCGAGTTCTGGCGCCACTCGGTGGCATCGTGCGCCAACGTACACATATGTATAGAACTACAATTCGAACAAAAAGAGAAAAATCAAAGAGAAAAGTCCGTGAGCATTTTAGATAGAATTCTGCCAAGAACTGAGCGAATCCCAGAGCAAACCTGGGTGGGGAAAGGGGCAGAGGAGATTCACCAAAGTCAGTGCCGATAGTCATCGTAAGTGCTCTAAAACGCTACCCCACGTGAAGGGCGCTAATATAATATCAAGTTGTAGTTGTCGTAAAGCTCTGTCATTTTTTCTTATTGAAGTAGTTGGCAAACGGCACAAAGTTGGTACAACCCAACTAAACCGACCTCCGGCACATACCTGAATTGTGTGTCGCTGCGAGAGATGCGAGAGACAGAAATCTTTGCGGCACCGCAGAATTCTTTCTGCGTGTGCTCAATTTATCGTCCTTTTGTCAGCGTCAGGTTCCAACAGACACAAATGAGAAAATGCCACGTCTATTGCCCAGAGAGCAGTCGGGAGCTTAGAATATCACAGAAACATCTCTGAGCCACTTGCAGCTGTCTCGTGTCAATCAGTTGCCTTTTGGATAAGAATGATTAAGTAAGTGCATTCACGGTGAGCTTTAATACGCCAGGGACAAATTTGGGGGAAGCGGCGAAAGCCAAGTGCTATAAGACCCTGGCGTTATAAAAGCCGAGATGAATGTACACCTTGTCATTTCTATAAGTGAACATTTTTTTTTAAAAACATAGATGCAGTTTCTTTCCCTTTTAGACAATAAAACTTCCACTTACCACTCTCTTCCTCCCTACACAGATTATCCCTCTAAAAAAAAAGACATTTAAATCTGTCTCAAAATATTCAGACAAAAGCACGCTTGCTTTCCTTCGGCCAGTCCTGCCGGCCTCTTTGGTTGAAATGTGGTCAGTTCCAGAGACAGATGAAACAGTCAAGATGGTTGGCTCTGTCTCAGTACTGCTTTACCTTATCAACAAAAGGTATAAGCGTGCCAGCGAAGCACGTACACTTACTCCTCACACACAAAGGTGCAAATTTCTTCTTAAAAAGTACTTTTAAAATTAACACACTTTAGATATTGATGCGCAGTAGTAAATCGACATTACTAATTCTAGCTGCTAACCTTATCCAAGTAGATTCACTCTAATTCGATATATTTCCTGTCACTGTCCGCGACTGTTCTGACTGTACAACAGCAGCTTTATCGCAAAGCAAACTAGGCAATAAGTTCTCGGCTGCAAAAATAAATACCCTTCAGTTGTTGTGGGTTTTGCAATAGTTCTCAGGCAGACAGAACTCTTCTTTTGGCCTACTAGTCATCTAATTTTTTTTAAACAAATCCTGCTACCCAGACCGTATGTACTGTACCCAAAGTGGTCATGGAAATAATGTCCAGTCCATTTGAACATACAATTCAAACAAGGTCACCCTGATTTTCACTCACTTTGTAGCATCTTCTGAATTATTCTCCCGAGCCCCACTGTGTGTGTGTTTTTCAAGATAACTGTTTCAATGTAAACACCAATGTGTTCTTTACATTTTGCTGTATGCTTGCACATTTTACTATTACATTGTGATTCTTTTTCCGAATCAATTTTAAGATGGAGAATGTTATCATTTCCCTTTTCTCCCTCTTTAGTGCAAGAATGTCGTTACAAGAAATAATTGTGTAACATGCACAGAGTTAAATTTCCCCAAATTCACTGATTCAATGTCGATTCTCAACTGCATACATCCTCTTCAGCTGTGAGTCAACCCCCGATGTTTCCTGCTCGTATTTCCTAAAGCCCCTGGTAATGGGTGAAAAGAACAAGCTAACCCCATCTAACCTTCTCAAACCCAATCAATGGGCAAACTGTCCATTTCCTCTCCTATCCTAGCAGGAGAGGAAACCCACCAAGCTGCTGATTCAAGCAAGAATCAACAAGCTTATCGAATACATGCCTGACAGACTCAAATGTCACCAACAACAAAGGGTTAAAAGGTTGCAAATGTAGAATCAAGAATACTTTCAGGCAAATCAGGCAGTTGGTCCCCAATGACAAGAAGAAAATCTGGTGAAATTATCGAAGCACAGGGCGATGTATGGTCTGATTACTGGAAATCTACAAGCAGGAGGAATGTGGAACAGCTGAAGTAAGCAGCCTCATATTACGTACTCACATATAAAAGATTGTAACTGGATCAGGAAAAAAAATCTGAAAGAAGCACATTATCACTCCAGTGCCTTTGAACATAAGCGTGGCTCAAAGAATACAATGAATTCGGATGAAATGTTTAAACACATTTGGTCTGAGTACAAACCATTTAGAGGGGCTCAGAGTTATTTAATCAGGCCTGAAAGTTTCACACCACTGTGCTGTACAATTTCAGTCCAGCATTGCAGACCCCAACTCCAGTCAGTCAGTTGTTGGTGGTTCATTTGAGTAAAACTGCTGGTGATCTGAGCGTTTCCATAAGCGCTTTCCGTAAGTGGTCTTACGTGAACCACTTCCAGGGGTAAATACTGCAGCTTCAAGAAATCGTCGGCCATTCTGTAAACCGGGTCTCTCAATCTCTCTCAACACAACACTTTGTGATCTGGACTGAAACATACACTTTTAAAAGATNAAAATAAAGATTTGAGATAAACGTAACAAAATAATGCATTTTTTTTTAAAACTACATATTATAATCTGATTCAAAACTCTTTAAAACACGGCGATTACTTGTGGTCAAACGGTGTCAAGTCGATATATTCTAAAAACAAAAGGATGGCAACATAAAAGCTCTATACTAGGAACAGCGTGCAGGGAAGGTTTTATAGAACACCTGCCCTCTTGCCCATGTGCTTTCCTACAATCTTCTAAAATATCTTCATTGAATTTAACAGTACATACGTTATGGAACTGCACAAACAAAGGAAAGCCAAGTCCTTCTGAGGATAAGGAACAGGAAATGGCTTTGACTGTCCCGATACTTCTGGTTGCATTCACTGGAAGTCCATGACAGCACTGAGCGGGTTAGTCTGATCGATTTCTTGCCCGAGTGCTGACAAGGAGATTGTGCTCGCTAGCAGAAGCCTGGCTTTGTGATACTCGTATCTGTCACCGGTACAAAGCTCTGAGCCTAATATACTCAGTCCTGTGCAGTAACCAGCGTTGGTCCGTGATTTGAACTATTCAAACTGATCTGCTTTTCTTTCTAGAGAACGTGCAATAATCTCCAAGGAATAGGTGAGTAGCAGCAGGCTCTGTGCATTAATCGCTGGCGCAGTGAGAGAATAACCTCAGCAAACACATACGCTGGCCAGATATTTGGGGAATAATATTCGTGGGAAGAAGAGAAATTCAAATAAACTCACACACCTTGGCAGCTAACAAACCTGAGTGTTAGATTACAGAGTCCTTCACTCACAATCAGGGTGGTCGTAAATGAGGAATTTGTCCCAACATTTACAAATGTACATATGGCAGATCCATGCAGTTTGTCTTTGGGGAGCAGTGGGTAACCTACTTGCTACCTTGGTGCTCAGTGAACAGTTCCACATTAGCCTCTGCCACTGCATAGGAGGCATCAGTCAGTGAATAGCACCGCTCCCTGTACAGGATCAAGAGGTGTTGTCAGTGTAGGAAATTCTGCTTCACTTGACTAAACAAAAGAGTATACACTGTGGTAGAACAATCAGGTCTAACAAACTCACTTGTGTCTAGCGATTTGCCAGAAGTGAACAGTACTTTTCTATGATGTCACCGTTACGATGAATATCAGAATAAGCAGTCATAGTATGTGCTTGGGGGGTGGGGGGAGGGGAGATAGAGAGGAGAGAGGAGGGAATCACCCACTGAGTAAATAGACATAAAGAAATAGGAAACATTTTGGAGTATGCTACTGATTTTCATTTTGAATCTCTTCTAGGATATTAATGAGATTCTCCAATCCAAAGATATAGCCTTTGTCAGGCCCGTCGTGAACAGTTTGGTCGTCTGGGAACCCCCTGAATGTGCTGTGAGCAAAGTCAATCATCCGCACGTCAAGTTTGGGCATGGGCGGAGAGCCGTTGGAGGAAGAGGATGGCACAGGGCTAATGGTTTCCTGCGTGCTGTTGTCCTGGGGGACGAATGTTTCCGAGTATTTGTGTCGAAAGTCCGCTTTCCTCTCCTTCCCGTCGTAGATGATCAGTAAAGAACTGGAATAGAAGCGATAGGAGGCTTGCTTTTCCAGGACCGCTTTGAGGTTACGGAGCTTCTGCAGGATGGCATCAAACAAGTCCTTGCGCAGGTATTTGCCGTTGTGCAGAAACTGATGCAGGGTCTCCCCGAATCCCTCAATGGAAAGACTGCGGCCATAGTACTTGTTCCTCCAGAGGTAATGCCCTGAGTCTAACTGGAACACCTACAAATGAGGACATAGGCAGATTGATCAGTGTCCCTTGTATGACTAGTAGTCAATGGGATAATTGATAAGTAGAAACCCGGTTGTTACTCGATTGGGGGATCGCATTCTAGGGGGTAATAATCCCTTCAAAAAAACAATAAATAATAAATTGGTGACTCAATCCACAACTGTTTGTGGGACGCTGTTGTGGGCAATTGGCTGCCGCATTTTGCCACAAAATCTACAATCAATTCACTTTCCAGTGTATTCCATGAAGTTCTTTGAGACATCTCGAAGACGTGATAAGTCGCTATATCAAATCCAAGGAATATTATCATTATTAAATGATTTGACGTGGACGTAAAATAAAATCCTGAGGGACCATGAGGCTACATTTACTTTTTGAGACCTGTTCCTCACCTGCATTCCACACACTCGCACACCCAGTGTTGCTGATGTACTTAGTTCACATTTCTTCATCTGTCGCGCTGCCTTTTCCTCAGAAGCATCATCTCCGTGTTGCCTGGTTCCCATCTTCAGATCCAGGATACAGGGATGACGGAACTGATGAACCACATTTTCCAGGAGGAGGAACTCTGCAGAGTATTTTGTCAAGAACGTTTCCTATGATTTGGAAAGGGCAAAGTTGGGAGCAGTGTGCAACACAGCACTACATGCCCACAAAACACAGTCAATTCACATTACACTATACTCTGTGAAGCGTTCTGAGACGTCTCGAAGATGTGATAAGGAGCTATATCAAATGCAAGGATTATTATTACTATAATCCCTTCATTGCATGTAAGGCAAAATTCAACAAGTTAAAACATCTAAAAGCTGCTGGCTCAGTATTTGCTCTTAAAGTAAATGAATAGCATAAGTGCATCAGGCAGTGCAGTGCAAATCTATCTCAGTTGGAGAAATGCCAGTATAGGACCATATGAAAACAAAGCAGTATATTCAATATAGTTTGACTCTTTGGGACCTTATGCATGCTGCACTGGGACCTTTTAGGCAGATTTGCAATAAATCATTGGGAAATTGAATTTCTCTATCAGGAACCAACTGTTTTGTGAAACTCTACCTTCTACCATAGCGAGGAACGTAAACACTCTGCTACTCCCTTCATATGAGAAAATGGAGCAAATTCACCTGGAAACTTAGTGTTTAGCTCCTTATTCTATTGTATTCTGTCGAAGTATATCCCTCAGATCTCTGACCTAAACAGCTCATCGCTAACAAGAGCGCACACGCACACACACACACATTTTAATGTAGGTTGTGAAAAAAGCTGTTCTGGAACTTTGAAATAAGGACAAAACAGGGGTGCGTTGTGAGTGGGGCTCCGCTGTACCTCTTGGTACCTGTACCAAATGCTCTGGGACGCTACATTGCGGAAGGGGCACTAGATAAATGCAAGTTGTTGTTGTACAAACGTGGGTTTACTGTGTGACCAGCTTGAGCGAAGGATACTGTAGAACTTGCGGTTGTGTGATTCGGAGCGCATGCGGCTCAGTTGCTGCTTGTGGCAGCGTAGACTCCATGGATTGAAGCTGATCTTCTCTGAGGTCACCCCGCTGTTTCCATCCAACATCTGGAAGGGAATCTCTGACTGGATCTGTACCTCCAACTTTGTGCTCTTCATCGCCTGAATGCTGCGGACAAAGCAGAGACAAAGCATGAAGATGAGAAGACATATTTTTATGGCAGACATCAGTTTCACCAAGATAGAACCTTCACTGGGTGATATTCCCCACACAGACGCACACAAAGGTCAATGCAATCACAATGCTTTTTCATCTTTGAAGGGTTTGGCTCCTGGATTCATAGCTTTGTCTCATTTTGAAAGTAAGAGTGACAAATTGCATCTCCAGTCTCACAGAATTTACAGCATCACACTTTATTGGTATATTCTGTGCTCCTGATCTGACAAACCTTTGGGATTCTACTACTAACCCTTCGAGTCGCATTATTCCGAATCCCAGTTTGTGACACTTACAAGTTGGAAACAATCCAGAACTGTGAATGTATAATATTGAAAAATGGTGTGAAAATCAGGGTATTGTTGTATTAATTCACTAGACTGTAAAGAGGTACAACGTGGAAGTTTAGAAAGAACTTACTTTACACAAAACTAGTATTAACTGTAGCTAAGAACCAGGCTCTTCAACAATCACATGTCCAATTTGCCGAGTCCAGAAGAGCAAGAATGAGTAGATATAAAAAAATTCACAATATCTCCTTTTTAACCCTGTCCTGTAACACTCATCATGACATATCCCAATTTTAAAGCCTTAATAATACAATAACAACAAATTACATTTATAATTACATTTATAATGCGCCTTATAATAATCTGTCTGAAGGATAATAAAGGATAATAATCGCTGCCGACAATTTAACTTTGTTGCACGGCCCCGATAATTTAATTAGTAATCACATATGATGATGCATCGTGCTCTCTTAAAAATGTCTTGCTCTTCACAGTCCTCATGTACTAATTCTGCATAACACACACACACACACAAACAGACACGTATATGTGAACACAGATGCTGATAACAGGTTGTGTAGTTCCCTGCAGCACTGAGTTGGGAGTAACTGGCACTTTTTTTTGCTGGAGGTTTCAAAGTCCTTCAGAATAAGCGGACTATTTATATCCCATCCCTCTGCGTTAAATCAGCCATTTCCATCCCTGCAACGTTAACGTGTACAACATCAGAAACACACACGACTACAATACATAAGCAATCACTGAGCTTTATTTGGCCCAATTTGTCCAGTGTTTTCCAGGATTGGATTTTGTTACTAATCCATCATTGTCCCTAGGCATATTGGGCCCCAATCCTCAAAGGCAATTTTAGGGCATTATCCAACAGACATGATGTTCCATCTGAATCTTCCATCCCCTGCTAATACCGCTGCTCACCCAATTATCTATGTCTTTCCGACTACAACTAACAGATGTGAGAGTTCATGATATTGGGAGGCACACAGCTCAGCCGTACCGTGAAGGAAGAAGGGGAATCCTGGAAGAAGAAAACAAGGGAATAAACGAGTACAGTAAGAGAGAAATACTCTGGTGATTAGCACGAGTTGACACTAGAGTTCTGTTAGCCTTTGCTGCAATCTGCAAGGGGTTCCAATACTATTTAGGTTAGGTTTACTTACCTCATTCACCAATCTTACCAAGGTCTGGATGGCACTCTATCTCTCAACTTTGATTTTATGAATATAGTAATAGTTCAAGAGACAGATTTTACAGACTTGTTTGTGTGATCCCCGTTAGTATTGTACAAAAGGTTCTTTTAAAATAGCAATCTTTGGATATATATTTACAGCACCACTTTTATACTCATCGCAAAGTAGACCAACGGGAAACAAAGGAATTGAAAGGATTGATCGATAAAATTGTAGCTGACCTCCAATTTTACTACAAAACATGTTTTCAAAACTCAACAAAAGGATGAACGGTACAATGTTGATGTGCATGAGTCATTCAATCGGATCATCATTGTAATACAATAAAGGATGGTCTGATATACTTAAGTAAATCAGTCCTAAATAGCTCCTGTACGCGTCCAAGAAAATGTCATCAGCCCATCTCAAGCACATTTGCAGGAGCAGTGAAAGGAAGTGGCAATCAGTGCTTTCAACTCCTCAGGATGACATGGCACAAAAGACAGTTATCAACAAGAAATCTGGACACAAATAGGCCTCGGAGTATTCAGAGCACATCTGCTAATCCAGTGATGTCATCCATTATAGGCTAAAATACGTCTCCACAAACAGCAATCCAGGTCTGTATGTGCCTTTAAAGCTGCAGTCCCCATCAGAAAACCCAATAAGCAGTGCCTCTAAACATATCTGTTTAAAGATGTTCAAAGTATTTGGAAAGATTTCAAAACAACCCAATCGATCGCAAAGCAAAGATCTGTGAACCACGATGTATCACCACACAAACCAAAATTGTCTTCCAAACTACAGCCTCACCACGATCTGGACCTTTTCGTTCTATGTATGAGACTGAATCCGAAAAACTAATCCGGCACAATTGTCAAAAAAATAAAATGTTACAATTTCTTCACCGGCGAACTTTTCAGTGGCCATATCAGGGAATGCCAATTGGCTACCGTGTCTCACCCACAAAGTATACAGTCAATTCACTTTGCAGTATATTTGAGACGTCTCGAAGGTGTGATAAGGCGCTACATCAAATCCAAGGATTATTATTACTATTACGGCAGTCCTTCACAACTGAGACTCGGAGACAAGCCATTAGGAAGTCGCTGTCCTCCTATGATGTACCCAGTTGTGATTATGAGCAGGAGCCATTATTCAATCTCTATCGCTAGCATCTCTATAACCCCCAGACATAGTGCACAGGAAACGCACAGCCGTGTGCAACCAGCTTACATGGAAGCCCCATTCTTTTGCCCCATTACAGACTCTGCTCACAATGGTGATCTTCAACAAAAGAAAAATGCCAAGAAGGCAGACTCAAGCAACTTATTCAAAACCAGCAGGAGAAAATCTAGTGAGGCTCACCCGTTTGTTTCAACCGCACAAAATTACTGAACCTCAAGTTCAGCAACAAATGCACGCGCAAACAATTTACAAGTTGTGTCCAGACTGAGCTGAGGTGAAGACATCTTGTCCTCTGCACCTGTGCCATTGGAAGGAGAAATGGATGCAACAGAAGATGTCCAGCCTACTTAACATTAGTGAGTTTGCAAAGTGGAGGAACAGGTATATATCCCTTGACATGCTCGTCATATACCCTCTATCCAGTTAGTACAGCTCTGCAGACCGCAACACATGCTCCAGTTCAACTTTCACTTGGATCCTACAGTTTGTTTTCCTGTATTGTACTTTACTTTCCAATTGCCAAGATTTTGAAAGTTGTGTATGTGACTGCTTCATTTTCACCCGACAACACAATTCATAAGATCCACCTCAGAAACGAGGGAGACTGGCACTCTCCAGTGACTTGTTTGTCAGTTTTCTGTCCTTGCCAATATCCCTATATAATAGTCCATATACAGACCCCATTCAAAACAGAAGTCCACATACAGCTTGTCCACTAGCAATCAAACACCCAGTAAAGTGTTGATATTCATCAAATCCATCGAGCAAGACCAAGAAGCAAATACCGAAGGAATCTTTTGACTCCTGAACTCCAATCAGAAATCTGTTTGAACGCCACGTGTGCTTAATGACCTCTTCTGGCTGGTATCCCTACAGTGACAGATTTAATAATAGTTATTTAGATCAGAACCCCACAGGACAGCTGTAAACATAAAACGTGTTTACCCCAAATCCATCCTTGGTAACTCTTTCTGCTAGAGCACTTAAAGGTTGATCTATCACTCCAACTGTAAAAAAGGAACAGAACATGTATCACATACTGGAACACCCGCACGACACACACACACAGCTGAGGTACCCCCAAAGCTTGCATCACATACCTCTCCGGGATGTCGGGATCTTCTTTCTGGATCAGGTTTTCAAGGTTGCTGCTCGATCGAAAGAAACTTCTTCGCGAGTGCTTCCTGCGGGGTTGTTCCCTTTCTGGAAGTTCTTCCGGCTCCAAACCTTCGCTCTCCTCATACGGATACGCGATCAGGTTAATGTAACCATCGCTGTCTCCTTCAAAACATACCAACACAACACCTGGGGGGAGAACAGCACCCACATTTAACGAGTTGGCAATGTCAAAACGTTTCATCATTTACACTCGATCTTTTCCCGTTCTGGATCTGTGCAAAAGCATCTGAACGATTTCGCCCACAAACTATACAGTCAATTCAATTTACAGTATATCCTGTGAAGCGCTTTGAGACGTCTCAAAGACGTGATAAGGTGCTATACAAATGCAAGGATTATTATTATTATTACCGCAGTCACCCACTTTATAATACAGCATCAGCACTCATTCAGAGTCGACTGCAAATGCAAGGGATTCAAAGATGTAATAATTAAATTAACTACTGTTGTGGATTGTGTAAATCAGAAGTATAGTATGTAGGACCAAGGCACACAGCACTGAATTCAATTGCTTCAATGATTTCGTTCAAAAACTTAATGACAAAATAAATCTAAAATTCTCGCCAAATGACAGGAGGTAGACTTGCACTTAATAATAATAATATTTCCCTAAACAGTCGTGGATTGAAAATGACCAGTTTATTGTTGTTTTGTTTTGGAGGGATTATTATTAGGCTCTGTGTGGAGTAAGGAAACTTGCCCAAGGTTTCACCCCCTGCCTGGAATTGAACCCAGGTCTCTAACCACTGAGTTACAGGACTCCAAAATGCCCATTTTGTACAGTATGTGCCAATTGTGTTAACAATTGGAGTTCATTGAACCGTCTCCTAGAATCTGGCAGATTAGCAAAATCCAATGGTATAGCAACTTCAGAGGCTAATGAAAGCAGGCAGCTCCTGACGTCAGTCTGTTTGTTCTCCACTGAATTATTACAGATAGTTATTCAGTCAGCAATGTCCTGCTCATTACTGTAGTTATTAGTAAGGCGCTATACAAATGTAACTTTGTTGTTGTTGTATTAGATTAGAATTGGACTACGTGCATTTCGGAACATCTTAGAGCAACTGATCTCCCCCCCCCCCCCCCAATGTTATGCAGGTTCTCTATTAACACGTCAAAATTATCTGGAGTAGATTTAGATATGTTACATCAGGTCACAGCACTTTATGCATTTACAGTGAAATGGCTGAACAATAATGACAGGCTCAAAAGGTTGTCAAAACCACGCTGGTTGAAGTAGCTACTGTGCACACCCTCAGCCATTTCCTATAGCTTCTCTGTCCATCATCATTCTTCCAATCGGTCCTTCAGTAATGCACAGGCCTACCATTTAGCATTTAGCTCAGTGATATAGAACACACAGTCTGCCCGTCACAGTTTCATGCAGATCATTTCTTCTCATTACTCCAGGATGGCCTCTGTGCCCTGCCAGGTAATAACCCACCTTCGCAGAAAGAGATAATAAGGCGTCAGCATTCCCTGCTCTGAGTCAAGTGGAAGATGGCTCAGCATATACTGTACAACGGGCATTGTGCAGCACTTAGCCATTGGTGTTATCCATGGGAATACTGAATCTCACCTCAAGGAGTGGGTTCCTGAATTTGTTGGTCAGTCATAGCGGCAGCTACATGAACAGCATTTGCAACCAAATAATAATAATAATCCTTGCATTTGATACAGCCCCTTATCACGTTTTTGAGACATCTCAAAGCGCTTCACAGAATATAGTGTAAAGTGAATTGACTGTATATTTTGTGGGCAAAACGCAGCTGCCAAGTGTGCCCAGCAGCGTCCCCACAAACAGTCGTAGATTGCGTGACGAGCATTTGCAACCAAATGCATACATTCCTTGTTTTGTTCTAGTTGTCCTAAGTGAAGCTATCTGAGCCAGAAACGTCGATGAAAGATAAATACTGCTTCAAAGTCACCGTCGGAGAGAGGGACAAGGACGAGAACATGTGTGTTCAGAAATTCACTGCGTGTGAGTTTCATCTTTTACAAATGAAAGAACAGCTGCAAAGACAATATAATAGATGCACATAAATTATTTTATTTGGAATCGCACACTCAATCCCTAAGGCATAGATTCATTGTCACAAGACCAAATTCCAAAGAGAAACTAATTGCTCTCCAACACGCACATCCCATTTTACAGCCTCAAGATGAATAAATAATAATCCTGATATTTGGCACAGCACTTTTCACTTTGGTAGGACATCCCAAAGCACTGTAAGAATTACTGTAAAGAGCAGTGACTATGTGTTTTATGGGTGAATGTGGTAATCAATTTGCGCTTCTTGAACAGTGCCATGGCACCTTTAATCGAACAGGCAGAGGCAGCCTTGCTTTAACGTGTGGTCTGAAGGATGGCACCTTCAGCAATGTTGGGACACCCGCAGCACTGTGCTGGTGTCAACTTGTGTCCCGATGTGGGAGTTGAGGTACAGATCAGCTATGATCTATAGAATGACGGAACAGGCTCGAGAGGCTGAATGGCCTTCTAGGGAAATCATACTACGCCACCTTTAAAAACAAGTATGCTAGTTTCAACACACAAGGTTACCAGAGCTACAACAACAACAACAACCATAACTTGCATTTGTATAGTGCCCCTCACGTAGGGTAGCATTCCAGAGCTGTCAGCAAAGCACAGAATGATGCTCAGGGACCTGAAGTTACAAAATAACAGGCTGCATTGAAATATCAGGGATAAGGAAATGTGAGAATATTTTCTAAACGGGAGCTCAGATTGTGGCGAAGGCAAACATTGGTGTCATGGTAAATGGGGAATTTGGCTGAGCTGTTATTTTTAAGCCCTGCTGCTTTTCGTACTCTCCCAGTATTACAGAATGATTGATCATGATAAGTCATGTGAATCACGCATCAGGTTCATTTAAAGCCAAAACACTGCAGAGGCTCAGTCAGCAGGCTCAGCAAACAGTCAAACACCGTCAAATTGTTCTTACTTCAGTCAAGACAACAATCACCATTGAATCAGATCACTCCAATTCACAGCACCAAACACCTCCACTCACACACACACAAAACATTCTGATTCACAACAATAATAATAACAACAAATTACATTTGCGATGTAATTACATCGCCTTTCACATCGGGCGAACTTCCCAAGGCACTGGACAGTCAGGGATTCAAATCCGATCATGTACAAAATCTGATTTTATACATCACAACATTCTGCAGAATATATTATCACACTGCACTTTGTATATTATTGATGTGATGGGCTAATTTTACATCTTAAAAAACTGCTCGCTTGCGAAGATTTCAAAACCAGAGTAAACCTGGAGATCACAATTGAAAACATGGAGAAGAGTAGATCTTCAGTACAGTCTGACAACAGTCATTTGTTCTCCATAAAGTGACTTTCTGAGTGTACTGTAAACAGGAAGGGCAAAGTCGTTGCTAATTTTAGTTAAAAGTACTTGTGACATGCAGAAAAAAAGTCTCACCTTTGTATTCCGGTGTAAATTCTTTCATTTCTGGTGGCAGCGATTCGTAGAACCTCTGCTCGCGAGTGATGAGGGGTTTGCAGACGGTGTGATCATCATAGCGCATCATACTGGAGTGCCCGCCGACTTGGTGAATGAAGGGCTCCAAAAGCACTCCTTTGTGTCTCTCTGAGACTGTGTTGTTGCCATAGTTCCCCACTTCCATGGTGTCCAAAAGGCACATTGCGTTACTGGGCCACAGCTTGGAGGAGACATGGAGCACAGCACATAGGGCCTGGCTTCGCTGGCTATACTCTGTACGAGCCTGAGGACCAGCCTACAGCCTCGACGTCTATCACGCAAGCAGAGCTCCCAACTCCAGAATGCTCTTGTTCACTTCTAGAAGAGAGGAGAAGGAAAAACAAATCAGTTCTGTGCTAAACTGTGACCCGAAGTCCAGTGGAGCAAGGCAGAAAATATTGACGTACGATTTTATGCTTATTACCACTTTTTTTTGCATCGATCACACTTTTATGAGCAAAATGATCGGTCAGCACTCTGGTGGGAGAAAAGTACTTGTGAACATACAAGGGAATTGAAGAATAGTAAAATGGCAGTGTGTACGTAAAATATCAAGTCTACAAGAAAAAAAAACTTTTTATAGTACTGAACAGTAAAACCAGAGGACATGGCCTGCGAGTGAAGAGAGCAAATTCAGAACAAATCTGTGGGGACACTACTTCAGTGAGCAAGTAGTAATCTTATTGAACAGGCTCCCTAGGGAGACAGACGGTGGAAGTAGAAAGTGTTGTTTGCTTCAAGAACAAATTAGATGGATTTCAACAACAACAACAAGATTCCATTTATTGAGCGCCTTTCACGTCGGGAGGACGTCCCAAGGCGCTTATTTCTGCTAGAAAATAATATCTAGGGGATACAGTATAGAGTTTAGGACACGCCACGTCAAGTGACTGCCAGGATGGTGGAAGGTGGACCTCGGTCTTCCTTCGCCAGCAATTTCTTATATTCTATAGTGGAGACGGTGAAATGTAAATCATCCCCCTCCTCTCCAAATCAAATCAATCATCAGAAAGAAACTTATTTTAGAAGTTAAAAGGTAAAGGACTGAACATTGCATCCAGTCCATGCCGGAACAAGCTGCTCCTTCTCAACTGTTAAATGTGGTGCAGACTTTGAAACCAAAGTACCTTTCCCAGTAATAGAAACAATTTAGACATGAGGGAAGTACAACACAACAAGACCAATGGTTCACATAATGGAAGCACTGGTAACACAGAGGTCACAGAACCACCTCAAGCTTTGGAATCCTGGCAGCTGGATGATCTTTCTCAAATGATTCACCTTGTGATATCATCAGGAATGTGGACCATCTGGTTAATCCAGTTGTCAGCTCAGTTGGCAGTATTCTCATCTCTGAATCAGAAGATTCAAGCTCCAAATTTAATTTGAGACATGACACATAGTAAGTATAGTATGGCTTGGAAGAACCAGGCAACTTTGGATCTAAGGTTCCCAAAGCTTTCCTCTCTGTAGACTAATCCATACAGAATTAATTCCTATCAACATCTCCACTATGTTCTTATGGGCGGAATGATGATTGTCAGTGAAGAGATAGCAACTATCTGCCTAATAAAACAGCAATGCTCAAAAGTGCACCAAAGATGCCACTGCACTTTGTTCATCAATGTGTTGGAAGAGGGAGAAATAATCTGATTTAAATCCATTTCGTAGAACCTTCTGGAATATTTAGACCTCAAGGGATCAATGCTGATTATAAATAGGTTGTACTTACCAATCAGAGAGAAAAAAAAGTCTACAAACTAGACCAATCACAAGAATATCACTTTGAATGTAAGAAAAACATTCAACCTAATCCTTTAACTTAAAACAAAACACGAAATGACTTCAATTAAATTAGAGGCACAGAGGCAGCTGCAATACTTGTAAATGAATATTAAATCATGGGAGAACAAGCCAAAGTGTACCTTAATTCAATCTCTCACATATAATATCCGGAATACACCCTGAGCAATTAGAGTACAGTAGGTTAATTTACATTATGCTGAATAAGTCATAACACACAGTACTGAAAGCAATTTTACGTAACAGAGTAATAATAATCCTTGCATTTGATATTGCACTCTATGAAGTAATCCAAACATCTCCAAGTGTCTCACAAGATTTACTCTGCATGCAATGACGATGTATTTGTAGACGAACATGCCAACCAAAATGCTCACAGCACTGTCTCACAAACAGCGAATTTGAATGACCAATATTTTATCTGAAGGATTGTTGGCCACAACTGGGATCTCATCTAAATCGCACTCTTAGTTAAATTAGAAGCATAGAAATCTACAGCATAGAATTTGCATTTGACCCACTGTCTGGGCTGGAGTGAGACAAAATACAGGAATTCTATTATGGTACAATTTACATCATTTATAGAGTGCCTTTCAAACTGGGAGGATGTTTCAAAGCAATCCTAATAGGAAAGATCTGGTTTCAGCTGATGGGCCTTTTTTACAACCTGCTTGAAAAGTATAAGGGAAGGGAAAACAGGTTTGGGGTGAAACAGGAAACTTGAGATGCTTCGAAGCTGCTTAGCAATGGAGGGAGTCGAAGAATTCTGCTTCACATAATGGAATAGTGCAGACGTTCCTCAAGAGCTATCCGATTTGGGGAATAACAGAGGAAGTGTTTAATGAGGTGAGGAAAGGGTATTTAAGATTTACAATGTTGAAGTCAAGTGATAAGGAAACTATGAGAAATTTGTTGAAAAAGCAAGAGGGAAATTAGAAAGAAGACAAGCCAGAAAGCGATATGGGCGAGATGACTTCAAGGTCAAGGTAAGGCATGTTGGAATAAACAATGTTTAAAATAAAACTTTGCAAATTACAATAGTAATTAAATGTAGTCAATCACAACATTCCCATTTAATCAGGATTCTACCATGAATGCACTCTCTGATCAGACACTGCCAGTAGTAGTTGTTCGACAACTACTGTGTTACCCTTGAGTTTTAGTCAACAATCTTTTGAAACACCTGATTCAGGTAACATCGAAGGAGGACTGATATCATTAAAAAGCCACCATTGCGAACAGACACATTCTTATGCAGCACATGCTCTGTCATTTTAACAAATCCAATGCTTTCACCCCGACCTCAAAGACAACTTAGTATAAAACTGTCGTGTATTCGAAAACTCTCAAGTGTTCAATTCCCCTTTCACGGCAGTTTGGAAAGGGTTGTCCTGTGATCTCTCTTATTTCAGGCTCAAACACCTCTACTGGCAACTGCAGCATTTCCCAAGGGAGTTATGGTAGTTGCTTATAATGAAAAGTACAGGATTTTGAACATATTGAAAATTGTTCAGCAGTGTCTCATACCACAAAGCTTTTTACTGTAATGTGCTGATAATCCCTGCTGAAGTTATTCAATCCCAACAAAACTATAAAGGATTATGAGCGGCAAATCTTTTGAAAACTAAAGCATGTTTTGTCCTGTACTTAATAGATTCATTCCACCGCTCAAAGATTTCTCAGTCTACTTACTGGTAGCTGCACCCAGAGACGGGGACCCATCAACTACGTCTGTAACAGTCTCTGATCTGCGAAGGTGATTACAAGCGCTCACACCACCAAACCCAGTGTGGGTCCTCCCCACAGCAATGCTACGCCAATCAGGCGTACGCTCAATGGAACACCAGCCCTTGCTGCCAATCACACATATGTTTACCACTTGCAAGCAAACAAGCAAATGAGCTCAGAGAAAGGCTGCCCGTTGAATTTGGTTTGAAGGACCACAGAGGTGACCCTGCTAAGAGGCTTTATAACTATGACAGACCAGTTGCTGAGGATTAAAAGCTTTGCTGAAAAAGCTCTCCCCACTTTAAACCTTTCTGCAAATACTGACCCCCCCACCCACCCCACAATATCCCTCGTTGAACTTCAGCGGGGAGCTTGTTGATCACCATGAATTTTACATTGGTCTGGAAGGTAGAAATCACTATAATAATAATAATCCTTGCATTTGATATAGCGTTTTCACGTCTTCGAGACGTCTCAAAGCGCTTCACAGAATATACTGTAAAGTGAATTGACTGTATATTTGTGGGCGAACGCGGCAGCAATGTCCCACAAACAGTCGTAGATTGAAAGTGACCAACTTATTATGCACGAGAATGCATTATAGATCATCTCACATCTTCAATCATCAAAAAGGAAGCACTGCAACATTACACATTTTAGACTGACATTACCAAAGTAATGACATCTTCTGTTAATGCAACAGCGTATCTATAGAAGCCAGAATGCCCACAAAAATATACGGTCGAATCACGTTACGAAAGATCATCAACCTGAAACGTTAACCCACATTCCTCTCTCCATAGATGCTGCCTGACCTGCTGAGTGTTCGCAGCAACTTCTGTTTTTATTTCACTTTACAGTATATTCTGGGAAGCGCTTTGAGACGTCTCAATGTCGCTATATCAAATGCAAGGATTATTATTGCGAATGCAGCATTAATTATGTCACTTTCTCTGTTGTTCTAATTGAATCGGCAGGAATTAGCTAATTAATATGCATGAACCAGACTAGATTTCTTGGCAAAAGGCTTTATCATGAGGCCAATGTTTCTACTAATCGTGACCATCCATGCCCCAAAGCTCTTTCGCTCCATTCTGTGATTACACTCTGCTAAAGACACTGTATAAATCACACCTCGCCATTTAAAAACAATTTCAGCTAAATATCTAATGCAAAATACAATTGCTTGCTGGACATGATGCATGTGAATAATTTCTGGATATTTCTGGAATGGCATAAATTCAGCAGCTTGCATAGATAAGTTTTTATAAAATATATAAGAGGGAAGTCACTTTGATATTTCTTTGAACGGTGTCAAGCGCTCTAGGACGCTACCGTACATGAGGGGCGCTCTATAAATGCAAGTTGTTGATGTTGAATAGACAGAACCTTGTTTAATTTCTCGTCTGAAGAACGGCGCCTTTGACAATGCGGTGTTCCCAAATGAGAACACTGGGGTGTCAATATTTATTAGACTCAATAAAGTTCTCGACAAAAGCTTTGAACGGACAACCTTCTGATCCAGAATACTACCAACAAGTTGACACGTAACACAAGCAGGGGCAAATTAGAGGAGTGCTTTGTTAGCCCAATACCACAAGATCATTTGGTCTCCTGTACTTTTTTTCCCTTCTCCTGTTGCAACATTTTCCCCCTTTACACAAGTTTGCTGTGATGTTGGCCATCCACTTCTACTCTTGGAAATGCAGACCCTTTTCTGTTACAGACATTTAGTGCTTTTGGTTAGGCAATCACAAAAGATCAACATTGGAACAAACAATAATTATAATCCTTGCATTTGATTCAGCGTCTCATCACGTCGTTGAGACATCTCAGTGTTCCACAGAATATACTGTAAAGTGGATTGACTGTGCATTTTGTGGGGGAAACACAGCAGCCAAATGCACCCAGCATGTCCCACAAACAGTTGTGGATTGAGTCACCGAATGTTGTTGTGCCAAACAAGTGGCAGGTGACTTGAAAAGCTGGCAAAAGAGTGAGAATCCTGAAGGAAGCTTGGCAAGCTGTCACTCCAGTGTTACACAAAGTCTACATCAGCACAACACAGGGAATATTGTACCCTGAGCTAATCTCTTACTCGTGGAATCAGTATATTTATAACAGACCTCTACGCTTATGCCAAGAATAAACAAGTTACTATCTGAATCGAAAATGTCTAGACAGACGCCGAACAGAAGAGGTGAAGTGACACACACCATTTGTTCATGAAACTTTGGGCCCAACAATCTCGTTGCCTAAAACTCTGCTCTTTGCACGCAGAAGCTGAAGGTACATCTTGGGAGTCCTGTAGCTTAGAATTTAGATCACTTGCCTCGCAAGCAAGAGGACCTGAGTTTGAGTCCTGGACGGGGCAAACAGGCCCAGTCGTTAATCAACTGGTGGATCGCTTTTACGAGGTTAATAACCTCATCCAAAAAAATAATAATTTGGTCACTCAATCCACGGCTGTTTGTGGGATACTGCTGCGCTCAATTGGCTGCCGCATTTCGCCCACAAAATATACAGTCACTACACATTATAGTATATTCTGTGAAGCACCTTGAGATGTCTCATAGACATGATAAGGCACTATGTCAAATGCAAGTATTATTATTATAATATCCAGAAATCTAGGAGAAATCTGTAGCCCACTGCAGCAGACTCAATGCAATTTCTCAGTTTTTGTGTGCTTTTGTGAGCCATCTTTGCTCTTCAAAGTTGTGACAGCCTGCATCCAGTTATGGCCCTGCACATTACAAACCATAACACAAATTCATAATTAAAGTCTTCTTTGTTCCTATTTCTCCACCATTTCTGGTCAGCCACCAAGTTCTCCCCACCTGTGACTAAGCAGTTGAAATAGCAATTATTGTATTATAATACCAACAAATTGCATTCATAAAGTCTGTCATGCCAGGAGGACGTCCCCAGGGCATAACACAACTGGTTTCAGTCACTTGCATGGGAGAGGAGGCACTACTTTCCATGGTTCCTATTCTTTATCCCAATCCAATAAATCCTCCTTGGAAGAGGGTATGTATGGACAGAGGGTGCAGATAGATTCAATCCTGGTTGGGAAACCTATGGCGGTTGAATAGCCTGCAGACACTCGCTCTCATACTTCATACATGAATAATGGTCACTCGAAGTACTGGAGAACACCTGTTGCCATCTGTGGAGCCATATTCCAATAAAAGGAAAAAAGGAGTCAGATGTTCTTAGCAGCAGTTGCCAGAAAACTGACAAAGAAATCGAAGTATACTGCTACTTCAAGTATCTCCTGTCATGGCAAGACCTCTAAGAACAGAGACAGGCTGTTTGCTAAAGAGCAGCATTAACTCCGTCACGAGATATTGGCAAACTGTACACAAAACAACATAGACTGAGAATGTTTGTTGAGGGACATGAGAATTTAGTTGAAGATCTAACTTCTCCAACTGTTTTAGTGAAAGGTCTTTCACCTTCTCATTTCATCTTTGTGCCCTTGTCCTTTCGCCCACAAAATATACAGTCAATTCATTTCACATTATATTCTGTGAAGGGTTTTTTGACGTCTCGAAGACCTGATAAGGCGCTATATCAAACGCAAGGATTATTATTATTATTATATAATCAAACATAAGGAGGTGAACAAGGAAGATAGCACAACAAATGTTTGCACACTTACTCCTGTCGAGTCACTTATTCTGCAAATAGTTTGTGAGGAAGTAAATCTAAACATTACAGAACAAGGAACAGCAACGCTTTATTCCGCAAGTGGGGTTCTGCTCTCAGAAATAGTGTCATTTCAACATAGATGGGACTGATGCATAGGGAAATGCTCCTTGGAAAATATTACACTTGTGACCCCTTTGGGTGGAATTTGCCACTGCCACTTTTCTAGCTACACAATGCAAAGGGAAATAAAAATAGTACACCTTTTCCTGGTAATGATAATGCCATGCCACTGACCTAGATTGAGAAGAAACGATACTCGACAGTACACGTCAACAACGGAGTCAAATACACTAAAACCTCGGCTGTCTGGACTAATGAGGGATTGGGTGGGGGGTGGGGGTGGGCAGGGATGAAGGGGAAGAGATCTGGTCCAGTCGATGCCTGGCCACCGAGCATGGTGAAGCGAGGATGCCCACTAGGAGAGTGGGGCTTGCGGAATCTACATATGGCTTCCGAATTCCGGATATCCGGAGTCCTTTAAGCTGGGCTTTTACTATAATTCAGACTGCAGGATTCTGGACTGTGTACAAAACACTGAAACATATTAAGAAGAATCCAAGTCATTTTGTTACAGTTTCAATTTCCAAAATAATAGAGAACAAAACATTCCACCAATCTTCACACCGCAAATGCCTCTGGAGGACTTGTTTTTCTCTTTTTGTTGCTTCCATATGCAGTCCATAAGAGGCTTGAGATGCAGGCATCACTTCACAAGGTTAATGGAGCTAATCAGCTCACAGATGAGCCACTATACAGACGGATACAAACACCAAAGCATCGATCAGAATCCACTTAAGAATAAAGTACAACGCAAGTACAAAGCTGAGTACCTGAAAAGCGTGCTCGTATATTCATCCATCATTGTTTTAAGAGCTTACTACATAATTTTCCTTATGCAGTAATCTAATCAACATAGCAGCCAATTCACATAAGGAAGTGATTGAACTGATAATGAAGTTATAGTGATGTGTGAATATCCAATACAATACAAATTCAACAACAACAACAAATTCACATTCATATAGTGCCTTTCACATTGGGAGGATGTCCGAAGGTGCTGGACAGTCTCAGGTTTGCATCTGTGGTTGAGAGGTGAGGGGCAAGGACAGGAAAGATGGCTGAAAACGCAGTTGAAGAGGAAAGTCTTAAAGTAAATTTTGAAGGAGGCAAAGGAATTTGAGTATGATTTATACTTGTATAGCGTCTTTCACGTTGGGAGAGCATCCCAAAACACTTTGCACAGTTGGCTTGTCATGAAATGGGGGGAACCCACGATATTGATGAAAGGAAAAGAGAATGATTAAGGGCTCAGCTGTAGTTAGTGCTGAGAGGAGCCAGCGGGATACTCACAAGATGTGGAGTTATGACACTAATGAGTAAAATACATTTTGATAATGACAAGGTAGAAAGTTTGCGCAAATGTAAATGGAGTGATTGACACGGTGGCGAAGATGATTGAGGTGGGGGATAATAATCAATGGTGACGAAACGTTGGGCAAGTTTCCTTACTCCACACACACGCCTCTGTTTACCTAGCTGTCGATTGGCGGATCGCTTCTCCGGGGATAATAATCCCTTCAGAAAACATAAATAAAATCTGGTCACTCAACCCACGGCTGTTTGCGGGGACGCTGCCGCGCGCAATCGGCTGCCGCGTTTTCGCCCACAAACTGTACAGTCAATTCACTTTACAGTGTATCCTGTGGAGCGCTTTGAGACGCCTCGAAGACGCGATGAGGCGCTGTGTCAAACGCCGGGATCATTACTAATATCAGAGTAGAGGGTAGAGATGGATGGGGTGATGGGAAGAGAGAGCGCGATTGATGTGGGTGGGGGTGGGGGGGGGGGGAATTGAAGAGGGAGGGACTGAGGGGTGGGTTGATGGTCAAGGTTAGGGGTGATGAGGAGTGGGTGAGGGAGGGAGGGGGCGGGGGGGGAGGTTGATTGATGAATGAATGATGAGCAGATAATGGCAGGCGGGAGTGATGACGCTAAGGGCGATGATGATGATGATGGTGGTGGTGGTGGGGGGAGCGGGAGGGGGTTGAGGGTGGGAGAGGATGGAAGACGGACCCGGTCCCTCGGAGTCTCAGTCCCTCCTTGTCGTCCCCCCCCCACCCCACCCCCCGCCACACGGTGTGGTGACCGCTGCAGCTCTCCCGTGTGCTTCCGCGCCCTCCGTCGCTCGCTCGCTCGCCGGCCAACACGACGGCCAGACGGCGCCTCTCAGGCTCTGCAGTGACAGCTAGGCCCCGGCCCCGGCCGAGCCACGCCGCCATTGCTGACTCCCCCTCCCCGGGTTTGTTCACACACACACACACTCACCCAGCGAGGCGGGCAGCGGTGGCTGGCTCCCCGGACCTCCCTCCCTCCCTCGATCTCCCGGAGCAGCGGAGTGGCTCGGAAACCCGACCGACCGACCTGCCTGGAAACCCGACACAAACAAGCAAGATGGCGGCAGGGTCAACGTCAACCACCGCAGCGTCGTCGTCGTCGACGTCGTCGTCGTCGTCATCATCGCTGTCGTCATCGCGGCCGTCGCCGTCGCGGCCGCCGCCTCATCGCGCTCATTAATTATTCATGACGCCCGAGGCTCCGTCGCGTACGCCCTGGGCGCGACGCACGGCGCGGCGGCCGACGTCATCGCGCCGTCTGATTAATATTCATGAGCTTGTGCTGCTGCTGAGCTCATGGGTTGAAATAACATGTAACCCCTTTCCCCTCTTCCCTCCCCCCTCCCCCCCACCACCACCACCACTCCCCCCATTCATTGCAACTGAGGTTTAATCAGCTAATGGGGGTACAACAATAACAATAACAATCCTTGCATTTGATGCAGTGCCTCATTACGCCGTCGAGACGCCGCCCAAGCGCTGCTCGGGGTACACTGTAAAGCGGGTCGACCCGCGCGGGGTGGGGGGTCCCGCGGGCGAAACGCAGCGGCCGGTCGCGCGCGGCAGCGTCCCCAACGGGCCACCGGCCGCGGGTCGGGCAGGCGCCCAGCTCTGCCTCCCCTCCTCCCGTCAGCCGCCCGACCCCCCGCTTTCAGACACAAGACGAGCGTGAGCCGCGAGGATAGCAATGGGAATCGGCAGCATTCTCCACCGCATTAAGGAGAGCTGTTTTTAAACACTATTGTATTGTCGGAGAGTGACATCAGCTTAAAAAACTCTTCACCTCCACGCTAAGGGTTTATCATTACTGCCCTGCGTGAGGGGCGCTATATAAATGCAAGTTGGTTTTTTTGTTGTTGTCAACAGTCAATCGGTCTTTTAGCCCAGAAGCGAAGTAGGATCAAAAGAACTGAGAAAAGCGAAAGCTAGAAAGTGGACTTGAGTAATCGTGTAACTGATTTATTCACACCTGGACAAAATCTTCAAAAAAAAAAAAAGTGATTCACAAAGCAGTTGGTTTCTGAATAGAGAAAAAAGAAAATTTCATTTTTTTAAAAAAAAAATCAGACACATTAAACTTGTTGGGAACTGAAATAAAATCCCATTGCTCAGTTTTGAATCCAAGTCAGTTACCGTGGACTCTTTCGAAATTCAGTGGCACATCCCATTCCTGCTCGGAATTCCATCCCATACTGAATCCAAATCAGTTAATCCAGAGGGGTCCACATGTCACTGGTATGTTTGGTATTACTGCATGTACTGCAGGAGAAGCGTTTCCAAATTGGGCAGTCCTTGCATAATCACACACTGAATGCTTTATCTTCACATTACCGGGTTTCACACACTCACTTTGAATACCGTTTCATCCCATCAGTGGGGTTTGTACGCTCATACTGAATACTGCAAGGTCACAACACTGATTCTCATATACTCACACACTGAACACTGTTTTGTCATAATACTAGGTTTTGAACACTCTCACTGAATAGCCACAATAATAAATAATCCTTGCATTTGAGATAGCACCTTATCACGGTGTCGAGATGCCTGTGAAGTATTTGTAGGTGATACTGACTGACCCAATACTGGGTTTATGCCTTTGCACTGAATCATCACAATACTGTGCCCCATACACTCACACCAAGTCCTCACCATCCTAGGTTTCATAGATTCACACTGAAATAGTTTAGTCACATTATTAGGTCTCATACATTCAAACTGATTACAGCATTACTGGGTCTTGTATACTCACGCTGAAAGCTGTATTATCATGTTACTGTTTGCCATGAGTCCCTCTGCTCATAATTCAATTGATAGGAACTAGATATTTTAGAATTTGTCAATTGAGTCTACATTCCGTAACGTACTGACTCATAGCAACTTAATCCAAACACGGCACGCTCCCTCAATAACTAGCTCTCCATTCTGAAGCAGACCATCTTAAGGCTTCATGAAAAAAAACATTAAAACTTTTTCGGACAACACAATGATGTTGTGCGGAAAAAACCCTAACTCTAACCATGTTCGACACTTTGCAAACTCACCCCATTTTGCCACTTTTGTAATGCTGGCTATTTGTAGCACCAATAATATATTACCTTACATTTCTCAAAATTAAATGCATTAACCGAATGCACCCTTCCGAAAGACCCCAATTCCCCTAAATGTATGTCACTTTCCTAAACAGTTTGGCAGTATACACAAATGTTGCTTTACTACACCGAATGTCTTCAATGGATTTTCAATAAACACTATCATAGCCTTCAATTTTAAGTACCACTGATGATCACTATCCTGGATTGATTTCCTATCTTTCAACAATTTCTTATCCAATTTAAATCTTCCTCCTTTATCTCAAGAGCTTCAGCCACAGATCTCGGATGAGGATTCAAATCGATTACCCAAATGCAACATTTAGTTACTTCAGTAAATTTGTCTGAATTTACTTGCCATTAGTGAAACACACATACAATACTAGCCCAGCCAAAACATTCTGGGTTGTGACGTTCTACTTAACTACATTGCTATTCTGATTCTAGATTTTTCTCAATGTTAATTGGCAAGTCGAGTACCATCTCCTCTCCTCCCCCACCCGAGAAGAGATGAAATGCCTAGTTACTCTGTGCCTCCTAATCTGGCAATTGATCAGATCAAGGCTAGGCTTTAAGTGAAGGGCAAAAGGGATGGGTAATACATCTGGATTGCAGTGTGAGAATTTAAGATCCTACATCCTTCAACTGAGTGGATTTGAAATCTTCCTGGGATAGGAGAAGCCTAATTAACTAAATAATAATAATAATCCTTGCATTTGATATAGCGCCTGATCACATCTTCGAGAAGTCTCGAATCGATTCACAGAATACACTGTCAAGTTAATTGACTGTATATTTTGTGGGTGAAACGTGGCAACCAATTGCACACAGCCATGTCCCACAAACAGTCATGGACTGAGTGACCAAACTATTATTATTATAATCCGCCAATCCACTAACAACTGGGTTTCTACATACTGCTAAATTCAGGGTTGGCACATTTTTCAAATAACCCACAAGCAGCTCTGCATTCCACAGAACAGAAACCCACAGTGAACATTTAGTTAATTCTATGGAACATCATGAATAAAAATCTAAATACAATACACTTTTAACAAAAGCACAAGGCATTTAACATGGGAGCTTTACACATTTTAACGTTTCATTGGTAGCCAGAAGGTATTGGGATTGGATAAATATTTGGAATCCATGAGGTGAAATGATTGGCAGACCTGTCGGTTACATTATGCAAGGTTGAAAATGATATCAGCTGCTTTGGAGATGCCTTGCTATTGTGTGACCTGTTATTCCTTCAGAGAATGAACTTGAGCCAGAGAACCAGCTGGTTGCAATGAGAACACATCAGCCATCTCAGGACAGGCCAGCACAGATGACCTCAAAGATCCCTGAATCATCCACATGGTTGGTGGCAAAGCATGGTTTTTCTGAGGGAAAATCTCCACCAGCTCAGTCACTCACTGGAACACCACAGGGACAAAACTAGACCCGTATTCACACTGGCGAAGGTTTAGATGTGCATGCGACTATCTATGGTCGAAGATCTTCCAGCACACATCAGTACAAGTCACTATGAACAAACAAGCCAACTACCGGCACCTTCACTTCTCTCCTCTGAAACCATAGCTCAGTGAGACTTATTATTGGCCTCACACCATCGAATGCAAGATTTTAACTCATTTGCAGCGGTGCCCAGTGTGATGGCAGTGTTACTGAATAGCTATGTTTATCAAGACTTGCGATGAATGTGCCATTGTGATCGTGAAGCTGCAGTTGGTTCTTGACACTTCATGTGAGCCCTTATTTACACACTGGTACTGTACTGACTCATCCAGTCATATCCCACACGTGGCATCTGTGTGCTATAAAATTAACGTGAATGAGAACTGGAAAAACAGAGGGACTTCTTGCGACTCTGCAGGCTCTGTGTATGCCTGGCTCAGCATGCACCACTCTCAGGGTGCCCCCATCATCTGATATCAGCACCACTGGATGAGGGCCGAGAGTACGAGGTTGTCCTGTCCTCCGCAACTGTCCCGTTGCTGACTGGGTAGTTCTGAAGGAGGGTCTGCAGGTATGACGCCTGCACTGGTTTGTGGCACTGCAGAACTCGAATGGCATCTTCGACCTTGAACCATTCCCTCTTCCTTCCTGTTAAGAGAAAAAGACATTGCGCATTGAATGAAAGCCGTCAATGGCTGCACCTTTTCCGTATCATCAACTAGAATAAGGAAACAGAACAACAACTTGCATTTATATGGCGTCTGTCACGCAGGGTTGCGCCCCAGAGCGTTTGACAGTGGCAGAGCACAGCGAGGGGGGTGACTGTAGGCACGGTCGAACAGGAAGCTCTTCAGGCGCAATCCAAAGATGGGGAAGGAAGGGGCAAGGCGGAGGGATAGAGCAAGTGTTCCAGAATTTCGGGCTGTAGTGGCTGAAAGCGTGCTACCGATGGTTGAACGAGTAGAACAGGTGGCGTTCAACTCATGGATGTGGAAAAGAAGCATTCATCCTCTTCCTCTCCCAAGCCCAGTAATCTGAGCTAGAACACGGATCCACAGACAGCAGCAGCTAAAAATGTACCCACATTTGACTGGATGTTCCACCCTTGGTGGCTGTGCCTTCATCCACTATGCCCCGAGGCTCTGGAACTGCCTTCCTAACTCCCTTCATCTCGCTCCCTCCCTTCCCATTTTCAGGACTCTGCTGAAGACCTTTCTTTTCAACCTCGCCTTTGGTCACCTTCCACCCCCCCCCACCCCGACTCGGTCCCAGGATCCGTTACTGTAAAGCGCTCTGAAACTCCGTCCGGCGTGGAGGGCGCTATATAAATCCAAGTGGTTGTTGCTGTTGCCAGTCCAAATAGTGACCATTGCCAGAAAATTCAACGGTGGTCTGTATGTTTCATTATCACACCAAGTAGCGCATTCAACCGCCCACCGAGTCATTCTGAAAGCTTTACCCCACGGTGCCACTGTGAAACTGGCTTTTCAAACGATAATTTAGAATATTTGATGTTGAGGTTTAGGATATTCACTGAATCGTTTTGTTTACACGTTCTCAGACTTGAATGGAAGGATCAAGAGACTTTGGGAGCATTACAAATGCACTGCACCACCACCCAGTGGCGTTTTGAAGCATTTCACAGAATCATCTGTGCCGGCCACCAAGGGGAACATTCATGGCAACGCGAGGGAAGCAGTTAATAATAATTCCTCGCATTTGATACAGCACCTCATCGCTCCTTCAAGACGTCCCAAAGCGCTTCGCAGAATATACCATACGCTGAATTGATCTTATATTTTGTGGGCAAAAGAACGCCACTTACCAATATTCTCAGAGTCTTCCCATTGCTCCAGCACCTCTGTCACCGTCAGGGTGTAGACGTTTGTCCGGTGGTGCTTGTCATGGTTCTACAAGAGAAGATTCAGCTCAATGTTGGTCAGGGCAATCTAAACCAGGGCAGGTCAACAAGTCACAGAAACGTTAGGTTTAGGGCTCAAAATGACAAGAGTGCTTGAAAGTCATAGGTTAAATCTGTGAAGGATTTTTGTTGATTTCTGATCTAGGACTAGGGGGCGAGGAGGGGGCTTGCTCCTGTAACCAATTATAAAGCGCTACGTTAGTAGATTGCTGCTGTGGAAATCAAACTTACCTCAAACACCCCTAACAACCTTCCTAAAGTGCCTCTTACTCCAGCCTGCAATGAGAGACACAAAACCATTACACAATGAATGTCACAAACACAAGGCGGCTAAGCACCAAGTCCACAGTGCCGAGTCCATCGTCTTAAGACCTTCCTCTTTGGCGGTGCAATTGGCCACCCTCCTACCTCTACCCTTCCCACCCTCCACCCCTCCTGATCCTAACCCCCTGCTAGGATCCAAATCCCTGAGCGTTCAACGGCTTGGGACTTCCTCCCAATGTGAAAGGTGCTGTGTAAATTTAATTTGTGATTCTTGTTGCCGAGCAGAGTCCTGCCCCTGACGCCCCATCCAGGTTTTCCCTCACTCCCAATGAAATTGGACAAACTTGACAAGATCGGCATTTACCTCTTCATACACCTCTCGAACCGCAGCAACTCCAGGCTCCTCTTCGGGTTCAAGCCCCCCTCCAGGGACGATCCACTTCTCTCGGTTGCGACTGCTGCTTACCAGCAATACCTTGAAGACATCTACATGTTAGACTCTTTCACAATACATTGGCAGAATTTCTCCCAAAGAATATGTGGCTGGCTCATTATTCATTTTGAAATAATTGTTAAACGTGTGGAAAGTGACCAATAAAATACCTGATTTTTAACATGGCAGAAATTTGTTTGTGCTCTGTAATGTCCCACAAATGGCCATGAAATGAATGATCAATTTTATCTGGAGCATTATCTGCCTGCAATGGCCTACCAATATCGGTGTACGACACTTAACACCAATTACCTTTGAATTATTTTGAGACGCTTAATATTATAGACCGCTCTATCAAATGCAAGGATGATATTAAAATGACCAATCCTTATGAAGGAATTAGCCCACCAGAAAGAGTACCTCACATTATCCCCTAAAGCAACCAATTTGCACATTGTAATGTTTCTCAAATAGCCATAAAGTGAATGACCAATTTCTCTGGAGGACATTTGGCTGAGACATTGGCAGAAACTCCCTTCTTTTTTCGAATAGTATCATGGCATTTTTAATGTCCAGCTCAACAAGTAGATAGGACTTTGCTTTAACGTCTCATCCAAAGGACAAAACTCGACAGTACAGCATTCATATACATTGTGCTCTTTCAACTCATACCATAATAGAAAGATCATTTAGGGAGTTCGAAAAGTTAATGACAGCGATAATTCCAGTGAGACTGTGAAATTTGCTGCTAGCGGTGATCACAAATTGCTATTAGGCTCCCCACTTAGTCAACAGTCACGTTGGGGTATCCTTGCGATGTGAAAGGCGCTTCACAAATGAATGTAATTGGTTGTGGTTGTTTTTCCTTCAGACCTCACAGAAGATGAAAGCTGTCAATCACAAATCAAGTTGGAACCCTGAATCTGCTGCAAAGCTGGGTCGCTGGTAGAAATGTAATCACAGTGCAGCACAGCTTAATGAAACAACAGGGAGGCCAGAATGAACACATCAGCGCCCACTGTTTATTACAGCGACATCAGTCCGTTCAATAGAGAGCAACATGCTGACTAGCAAAATAAGCAACCAACTGGCTAAGTACCAGACCACAAGCTAGGATTCTCTCGTGTGTTACAATTAATACTGGAGGGGGGGAAAAAAAAGTACGGTTTTACTTTACCCAGCTACTTCCTTACATCCTAGAATAAACCAGGACCTGCATTCCCAAGGGGACATATCATAAAAAATAGTCAGGGGCCGTGTCTGTGACTTAGGCTGCAGCTGCGGAGGCCACACTTCAGTAATAGGAATGGGGAAGCACAGGCTGTGCCACATCAGTGATGAATCATTGTAATTAGACATTTGACAAGAGAGGAGCAAATTAAAAGGATCACAATTTGTCACAGTGCAAGTTGAAATGTAAAAATAATTAAATTAGGCTTTGTGTCCAAAACTGCTCTGATCCACCATCAGTAGATCATAACTCTACCTCAGCCCTCTGGTACCCTTAGTGTCCACCTCCACAAGTAGACAGGACCTCACTTTAACGTTTCATCCAAAGGACAAACGCTTGACAGTACAGTGCATTTTGGAGCTTTTCCCCTTTCCTCTCCACCTTCAAACCCCATTTCCAAAACCCCTGATTGTTCTGGGACATCTCTTCGACATGAAGGGCGCTGTACAAGTATAATTTGTTGTTTGACGTGTCCCCTTGACAGTGTTTTAATTTATCTAGCTGTAAGCAGGCTGTTAGTCATTTGGTGGATCATTTTTCTAGGGGTAATAATCCCTTAAAAAAAATAAGAATTATGTCTCAAAGACTTCATAAGGCGCTATATCAAATGCAAGGATTATTTTTATTTTCCTTCCCTTCTTCACCAAGGTTGTTGCTGACCAGTCCTTAAAACAAAGGCAGCCACCACTTTCTATGTTCTGTAAAAACCACCACTGTGTAACAAACTTGTATACGCTTGTTCTTACAGATCTCATAATCAGTGACATTCATTTTCCCACAGATATTAAGCATGATAATAATTCAATTAGATAATGGCAGTGCAGTGTGTAAATGCTAAATTACCCAATATCTTTCAGGCTCAATAAGGGAGTATGATCAGACGGAGAGGAAACTTTACAGCAGTTCCTTTAACACAGTGCCAAATTGACTCGCACAGAGCATCGCTGTACGATTCCCTGAAGCTCTTTAAATGCCTCAGTTGCAGACCCATTATGTCTGGACTAGGAAAGCAGCAGGCACACAGCCAATTTAGTCATGGTCGTATGTCAGCCATTCTTTCCAGACGCTCTGTAATCAGGGTTGCTTGGGGTCAGAGAGAATTTCAGGACAAATGAAATCAAATGTTCCTTTCGCAGCAACAGACAAAAACAGTTATGTATAGATGACAAACACACTGGAGCAAATGCAGTAATCTCGGCCCAGGTTGTCATTGCCAGCAGAGAGCCAGGCACGAGCCAGCCTGTTCGGATGAGCACATCTATAATAATCTACCCATTTTTCTTTGGGGGGAGGAAGAGAGGGAGGAAGTAAAAGCCTACACTAGGAAAAACATAGGGAATGGATTAGCCCAAGTCAGAAGGGATGTGTGCCCTGGTTCTAATTGAGAATGATGCATTGTATATTTATAATAATAATCCTTGAATTTGATATAGGGCCCTTATTACCGTTATATCAAATGCAGGGATTATCGTCTCAAAGCGCTTCACAGAATATACTGTAAAGTGAATGAACTGTATATTTTGTGGGCAAAACGTGGCAGCCCACCAAATATCAAAAGGGATAGGCGTGAAGTGTCTGGCTGCTTGTGAGGCACTGCTGTTCACCTACAAGTTACAGTCACTATGCACTTTGCAGTCTATCCTGTGAAACCCTTAGAGGTGTCCTTGAGACATGAAAAGTGCCATTACCAACCACAAGGATGTTTATTTATTATTATAAGCTTTTCTGGTAAAAATCAAAGCAAGTGTTTTTCCAAAAACAAGCATGCTGCAGGTTTGGACTTGAACACAAAACTGACCGACGTGTCATAAATTGTCCTGCATAGGTCCTCCCACCCTGCTGAAGGGCGTTGTCGGGGAGGAGGGGGGGTGGGGGGAAGAGGATCTTTGCAGGTCAGTTTGTGACAAGATAACATTAACAAGCTCTCTCTAGTGCATCAAGCTCTTATGATGCGATTAACCCTGGAGTTGATGCTTGTTGCCCACCTAGATTGGTACGCAGTGGGCTCAATACCTTCTACTGGAGGATCCACCACTCAATCGGTTGGGCTGTGGGCAAAAAGATGGTGGGAATGCCCTCACATGTTTAATGCTGGGTTGCATTTCTCACCACGTGGCTCGTGAGAAACGTATAGTAGGCGCGATCCACCTAGGAAGAGCTCAAACCTGTTCTTTACTTTCAAACCTGTCAGTTTTCTATGATAATAATCCTTTCATTCAACATAGAGCTATTCACATCAGGAGGACATGGTTCAGCGCTTCACCGAATATTACTCTAAAGTGTAGTGACTGTGTATTTTGTAGCCAAGCATCTTAATGACAACTAGTGATTATTCTCTGGGGAGGGGGAGAGTGAGGGGGTAAACAGGATCACTTCGGGGCTGAAGCCCGACTAGGAAGGTGGTACTACAGACAGACAAGCACCGGAAAGCTTCCGAGAGGTCCCCATGGTAAATTGTATGGTTTTTACTGTTTTGCCTGCCTTAAATCTTTGACCATGCTTTCAGTCACTTTTCCCCCCACATTCCCATCCGCCTCAATTCTCCCCGTCCCCAGCTCAGGTCCCCAGGCTGTGTGATGCGCTTTGGGATGTCCTACCTACACGAAAGGTACTATATAAATGTAAATAGTTGACGTTGAACTGCAGCAGCTGGACCCAAATACAGTCAATTCACTTTACAGTGAATCCTGTGAAGGGCTTTGAGACGTCTCAAAGACATGATAAGGCGCTGTATCAAATGCAAAGATATTATTATAAATACACACTGGGGGGAGGGCGACGACACCTAATTTTTTGCTGTTCTTACCCATCTATGCCTGACCTCTGCCCTCTTCCCTCCTCCAGCCATCCATCCATCTCTATTTTACACTGATAAGATGTTCCCCATCTTATCTTATCAGTTGCACCAGATATTTATGTACACATCTTTCATTTTATCATGGATCTTAACAAAAGAACAAACCAAGAAACAGTGAGATATTTACCCCCCACCCACCCCGCTTGCTCTTGCTCTCTCTCCGTCCTGCCACCCCCCCCCCCCCACTCTCTTCTACTCCTTCCTGGGCCCCTGTTCTCTCCCTCCCCCTTCCTCACTCCCCCCATTGCTCTCTTCCCTCCCCTCCGAGTGGGGGTGAATGTGTGCGTGATGGTGTCTAGCCAGAGGGGTGAGGGTGTGTGCGTGTGGTTGTGTGTGATGGTGTCTGGCCTGAGGGGTGTGTGTGAGGGTGTGTGTGAGGGTGTCTGGCCTGAGGGGTGTGTGTGAGGGTGTGTGTATGTGGGTGTCTGGCCTGAGGGGAGTGTGTGTGGGTGTGTGTGAGGGTGTCTGGCCTGAGGGGTGTGTGTGAGGGTGTCTGGCCTGAGGGGTGTGTGTGAGGGGGTGTATGTGGGTGTCTGGCCTGAGGGGAGTGTGTGAGGGTGTGTGTGAGGGGGGTTGTGTGAGGGGGTGTGTGTGGGTGTCTGGCCTGAGGGGAGTGTGTGAGGGTGTGTGTGAGGGTGTGTGGGTGTGTGTGAGGGGGAGTGTGTGTGGGTGTGTGTGTGGGTGTGTGTGAGGGGGAGTGTGTGTGGGTGTGTGTGAGGGGGAGTGTGAGGGTGTGTGTGTGGGTGTGTGTGGGTGTGTGTGAGGGTGTGTGTGTGAGGGTGTGTGTGTGGGTGTGTGTGAGGGGGAGTGTGTGAGGGGGAGTGTGTGAGGGGGAGTGTGTGAGGGTGTGTGTGTGTGTGTGTGGGTGTGTGTGAGGGGGAGTGTGAGGGGGAGTGTGTGTGGGTGTGTGTGTGTGAGGGGGAGTGTGTGAGGGGGTGTGTGTGTGTGAGGGGGAGTGTGTGAGTGTGTGAGGGGGAGTGTGTGTGTGGGTGTCTGGCCTCCTCTGCTCACCTCCTGCTCGCTCCGGTCCCGAAAGCACAGACACGCCGCCCGCCTCCTGAAACCGTCCCGGTCGAAAGTGCGGATCTGGTCGGGCTTGAATTTCATGGCTGTTGTTGTTGTTGCTGTTGCTGCCGTTGGTGGTACCCTCCCCCCACACACACAGTCACACACAGTCACACACACACCCCCCAAAATAAAAGGCACGGTTCCCCTCACCCCTCACAGAACCGCTCGGGCGGCTCCGGCCCCACCCGTGAGGGAGGGAGGGAGGGAGGGAGTCCTGCTCCTCCCTGTCTGCCCGACACCCCGGTTTCTTCTCTCCCCCCACCCCACCTTCCACAACGCGGACTCCCAAACTCGGGCCCAGTCCCGCCTCTCTCCTCCCTCAGACCCGCCCCGCAGCTCAGCTCCGCTCCGCCCGCGGCAGCCCAGCTTAGGCCTCACCCTCTCCCCAGCGCCATGGCAACCGGACCACCCCCCCCCGTCACGTGTGGGGGCGGGGCGGGGCGCGCATGCGCGCGGAAACGGGGCTGCAACCGGACCGGACCACCCGCATCACGTGACGGTACACACACCGACCTCCATCCACACACACACACACACACACACACACACCATGACCGCCCGCATCACGTGGCGCGCAGCCGCCCTGGAAGACGTCCCAGCCGCACCACGTGGTGCAAGCTTGGCCTGGAACACGCCCCCCTCCCACCCACCCGCATCACGTGGTGCAGGCTTGGCCTGGAACACGCCCCCCCCACCCCGCATCACGTGGTGCAGGCTTGGCCTGGAACACGCCCCCTCCCACCCACCCGCATCACGTGAGGGTGCAGCCCGACCTCCCCACACACACACACACACACACATCACGTGGTGCGAACCACTCAGCCCCAGCCCTGACCCCACGTGTTTCAGACCCTGCCCCAGGGTTCATGGGCTTAACAGTAATAACAATACCTCTAATGAAGAATAAATAATAATAATAATAATAATAATAATAACCCTCGCGTTTGACCCGGCGCCTCTCATCGCATCTTCGAGGCGTCTCGGAAGCGCCTCATGGGATTATAGACGGTCCAAGTGTAGTGACTGTGTGTTTTTGCGGGCGAGGAAGGTCCTGCCCATCTTTTGGAGAGCGCAGCCGACTGATAATTTGTCGCGCATCCCAGTCCCCCCTTCCCTGAGGCAGCCCCCCCCCCCCCCCCACACTAATACACGGTCAATTCACTTTACCGCCTATTCTTGGAGACGTCGAGAAGGACGTGAAAAAGCGGCGTATCAAATGCGAGGATTATTACATCATTATTATTATTATTATTATATAACCCCGTTGAAAATGGGGAAGCACGCTGTCCCGCTGTCAATCTTATGCAAATAACGTCTTCGAGACGTCTCAAAGCGTTCCACAGAATAAGGCGGTGCGATAAGGCGCTATGTCAAACGCAAGGATTATGATTATTAATAATTAATTACCAGTTCTTATTATTACCTTGTCAGCCTCTTCATAACTGAAGCTCTGCTGCCGCGTGTACTTTGCCTTGTGAAATATTGAATAGATCTTTTGCAGACTCAGGGAATTTTTCTGCAGAGTTCCTGTGCCTGATTGTGACGCATAACAAATAGCCTATAAATCATTTACTCCACCAATATTTTAAATTGTACCTTGTTCCACATAGATCACTTAGGAATGGTGTGAACAGGATTTCACCAGTCATTGCCCTCCAAACTGAACTCTTTCCGTTCACCTTGGGTTGAGTCGGGTTTCGTTCGAGCTAATTAATTTGCTGTTAATTCCACGAGAGGTTATCTTCTTTATAAGCCTCACGTGTTGAACCTTATCAAGTGCCTTCTGAAAATCAAAATAAATTATATGCACCGGATGGCATTTCCCATTAATTTGGTCGCCACTTAGGCTTAATGCTGTCAGGTTTGCGAAGCATGACCTAGTGCTTCTGAAACCATGCCAACTGCAGCTTAGTGCCTTTTATTTGCAAGTCTCAGCCCAGGTATATTGTGATGTGCTGGAGGTATTTACTGCACAGGTGCTTTATCTCCCCTACAGACCTGATCGGCAGCTAACAAAACTCACCCAAATGAAGCGAGTGAGTTTGAGTGACAGACAGCCATAGACTCAATCGCACTTAGAGATAAGTGTGCAATCACATGGCTGGCCAGGCTGCTCCGAAGCAACCTCAGAAGAGAGAAGGATTGAATTTTAACTGGAAGGCTGTAATGCCGCTTAGCAAAAAAAAACAATGATTGCAGAAGGATTTCTTTCTGTAGCTTTGTAAGCACGTTAAACAATCATTGATATTAGGATTTCAGTACATATTAAGTCTAGAGAAACACTTAGAGAGATCGCTTTTCTGGCTGTGAAGCATAGAGGTGTAGATTTCTGCGTGTGGGTCTACATCTTTTGGAACCTCAACAGTAACACCTGAAATTAAAAATTCCTCAGTTTAGAAAATCCTATAAGCATAGTGGTCAAAGCACTCGCCTCGCAAGCGAAAGGACCTGGGTTCGATTGCCGAGCAGGTGAAACGTTGGGCAAGTTTCCTCACACCTCGCACACGCCTGTGTTTACCGAGCAGTAAGTAGAAACCTCGCAATAAGTAGGTTGTTAGTCGTTTGGCAGATGCTTTTCCGGGAGTAATCATCCCTTCAAAAAAATAATAAATTGGTCATTCAATCCACGCCTGTTTGTGGGGATGCTAATGTGCGCGATTGGCTGCCGCATTTTGCCCACAAAATATACAGTCAATTCACTTTACAGTATATTCTGTGAAGCGCTTTGAGATGTCTCGAAGATGTGATAAAGCGCCATATCAAATGCAAGGATTATTATTATTATTATTATTATTATTATTAATACTTGTTGCTGCAGAAGAGCCCTGCGTCTGTGTCTCTGCGATGTGCTCAGTGTTGTTATTGTTAGGCTCCTGTCTCTATAGGAACTGCTTAGCAAAGCTCCCCATACAAGGCTCATCGCTGTCTCCAAAAACATTCCTCATTCGTTGTAGGTGGCTCCTGTCTGTCATGAATAATGATTGAGTTCCAAAGGAATATAAAATGATAGGTTAGGATACTTCCTTACTGGTATTCCTTGCCTCAGTTAATTCACCTGAAAAACAGACAAGTGCAATTGGAAGAAAATTAAATTTCACTTCTATTGGATTGAGATATAGTGCTGACCCTTGTCACAAAAATGCAGATCCATTTATTGAGGGCTATTTGGTTAAATAACTCATGTATCACATTTTTTGCCAACTCTTTCCCCCTTTTCTTGCCTCCTGAAAAGATAGCATTTTCCCAAATCGCCATTCTTTGAGATGTCTCAATGACACGATAAGGCACTATATCAAATGACCTTCTTCATATCT